ATGAAATTAACAACAAGTGCATTAGATGGGCAACAATGAGATGATCTCCAAAGCAGGAATGGTTTTATAGGTGGTGGCCACTGACATTTCTTTCCTTACTCACCTTTCTGACTGTTCTTCACTCACTAGTTTTGCATTTGGCTAGAGCCAGTGTCACTACTGGTTGACTGAGGAGATACCTGGACCCTACAGAGGTTGCATAGGCAGTCCAACTCCTCTAGGATGGCACATCAATACGTGGCATTGCCAGAAGGTTTGCTGTGTCTCCCAGCACACTCTCAAGAACATGGATGAGATTCCAGGAGACAGGCAGTTACTCTAGGAGAGTTGGACAGGGCCGTAGAAGGTTCTTAACCCATCAGCAAGACCTGTATCTGCTCCTTTGTACAAGGAGGAACAGGATGAGCACTGCCAGAGCCCTACAAAATGAGCTCCAGCAGGCCACTGGTGTGAAGGTCTCTGACCAAACAATCAGAAACAGGCTTCATGAGAGTGGCCTGAGGGCCCCACATCCTCTAGTGCAGTGTTTTTCAACCTTTTTTGTGCAAAGGCACACTTTTTTCATGAAAAAAATCACGAGGCACACCACCATTAGAAAATGTTAAAAAAATTTATTGAAAAACTTCTACTTGAGGGCCGCAATGGGTTCATATATTGGACCCGGGGGCCGGACCAAGAGTAGATGAATGATGTGTATGTGTCATCCATAGTAAGTATAGTAATATTCCCCCATAGTAAGCATAGTAATTCATCCCCCATAGTAATTCATCCCCCATAGTAATTCATCCCCCATAGTAATTAATCCCCCATATAGTAATTCATCCCCCATAGTAATTCATCCCCCATAGTAATTCATCCCCCATAGTAATTCATCCCCCATATAGTAATTCATCCCCCATAGTAATGCATCCCCCATAGTAATTCATCCCCCATATAGTAATTCATCCCCCATAGTAATTCATCCCCCATATAGTAATTCATCCCCCATATAGTAATTCATCCCCCATAGTAATTCATCCCCCATAGTAATTCATCCCCCATATTAATTCATCCCCCATATTAAGTCCCCAAGCCCCCCCTGTGTCAATTCACTTACCTTTGCTCCGCGCGTTCCTCTCGCCGTTCCGGTGTAGCATGAAAATCTGTCTCCTATGAGGATCTGTCCCCCTCGACGTATCTGCGCATGTGCCAGTTTCAGGCATTAGCAGCCGATCGGCGATCTCCGGCACATGCGCAGATACGTCGAGGGGGACAGATCATCCTGACAGTATCACGCTCTGCGGGCCGGATTAAAGGGTCCACCGGGCCGTATACGGCCTGCGGGCCGTAGTTTGCCCATTGCTGTTCTAATGATTGGTCTATTTGTGAGCCGAGGCCACATGTTACGGATGAAATTGCAATTTTTCCCACGGCACACCAGACAATATCTCACGGCACACTAGTGTGCCACGGCACAGTGGTTGAAAAACGCTGCTCTAGTGGGCCCTGTGCTCACTGCCTGGCACCATAGAGCTCGATTGGCATTTGCCATTGAACACCAGAATTGGCAGGTCCGCAACTGGCGCCCTGTGCTTTTCACAAATGAGAGCAGGTTCACCCTGAGTTCATGTGACAGATGTGAAAGGGTCTGGAGAAGCTGTGGAGAATGTTATGTTGCCTGTAACATCGTTCAGCGTGACTGTTTTGGTGGTGGGTCAGTGATGGTCTGGGGAGGCATAAATCCATGGAGGGACGCACAGACCTCTACAGGCTAGACAATGGCACCCTGACTGCCATTAGATATCGGGATGAAATCCTTGGACCCATTGTTAGACCCTACGCTGGTGCAGTGGGTCCTGGGTTCCTCTTGGTGCACGACAATGCCCAGCCTTGTGGCGAGAGTATGCAGGCAGTTCCTGGAGGATGAAGGCATTGATACCTCTGAATGGCCCCCACACTCGCCTGACCTAAATCCATTCGAATACCTCTGGGCTATCAAGTTTTGGTTCATCCGATGCCACCAGGTTGCACCTCAGACTGTCCAGGAGCTCAGTGATGTCCTGGTCCAGAACTGGGAGGAAATACCCCAGGACACCATCCGTCGTCTCATTAGAAGCATACCCCGATGTTGTCAGGCATGCATACAAGCTCGTGGAGGCCATACAAACTACTGAGGACCATTTTGAGTTGCTGCAATGACATTTCAGCAAAATGGACTAGCCTGCTGCATCATTTTTTCACTTTGATTTTCGTGGTGTCTTTTTGAATTCAGTCCTCTTGTCAGTCAATAATTTTCATTTCCATAAAACGATGGGGCATCTTTACATTCCTAACATATTACCCAGTCCATATCAGTATAGAGATCCAGCATATTTTTCCCCATTGAGATCTGATGTGTTTTAAAAGTGTTCCTTTATTTGTTTTGAGCAGTGTATATATTATACAGTGAGGATGGCCTGTAATGCTGATTCGGGCACTACATGGGTGCTCACTTTGGCAATGAATTGTCAGCCCCAGGGTACTATACAGGTCAAGGACAGTCCAACACTAAAGTTAATTTTAGGGCATACAAACACAATATAGTGATAAATCACAATCACAAGCTACCTATTTGATAAGAGGAATTTTTGGCTTCCATACAACGAGTTCTCTCTGGAGCAAAAAATCTGCCAGGCTTCTCCCGTAATTCAGCCATTTTCCTTAGCCTTGCATGCTATTGTTTCTGCCCTTAACCGTTTCAATACCGGGCAATTTTACACCTTCCTGCCCAGGCCAGTTTTCAGGTTTCAGCGCTCTCACACTTTGAATGACAATTGCGCGGTCATACAACATTGTACCCAAACTAAAATTTTATCATTTTCTTCACACAACTAGAGCTTTCTTTTGGTGGTATTTAATCACCACTGGGGTTTTTATTTTTTGCTAAATTAACAAAAAAAGACCAAAAATGTTGAAAAAAAAACACATTTTTCTTTGTTTCTGTTATAAAAGTTTACAAATAAATAATTGTTCTTCATAAATTTAGGCCGAGATGTATTCTGCTACATGTCTTTGGTGAAAATAACCCAAATTAGGATGTATTTTTTAGTTTGTAGGAAAGTTATAGAGTTCACAAACTATGGGATATATCTGATTGTTGATCAATCCTGAAGTACTGACAGCCAATCTAATTTCTTGAGGTCCAAGAATGTCAGAATAGTACAGATATCCCCAAATGACCCCTTTTTGCCGAGTAGACAGTCCGACGTACTTCATAAGAGTCATGGCGAGTTTTTTGAAGTTGTATTTTTTTGTCATAATTTTTTGGAAAAATGAAAAAAATTAAAAAAATTACTTTCACTATTTTTTTTTTTTACATACTGTCACCAGTGCAGTACAGCGTCATCATATAACTGGCATGGCGGTGAACAGGGACACTGACTGGTGACAGTATGAAAAAAAAATATATTTTTTTTTTTTTTTTTTTTTTTAATTTTTTTATTATATTTAATTTTTTATTACATTTTTTTTTATTTTTTTTAAGATTTTTTTTCATATTTTACTATGACCAAAGTAGTACAATGTTACCATAGTAACATTGTACTACTTTGGGGAAGTGATCAGTATTTTTTTTTTTTTTACACAATTTGCTTATAGCAAAGAATTACTTTGCTATAAGCAAGCATTTACCTGAATGAAATCGATTCATTCAGGTTTTTTTTTTTTCTTTTTTTTTTGTGCTTAGCTGTGATTTGGTCACAGCTAATTACATGACATGTGCATGTGATTAGCTGTGACCATTCACAGATAGGCACTAGTATACAATGGATGGCATCATGAATGAAGCCACCCATTGTATACAACTGTCATGTGACCTGCTGTGATTGGTCACAGCAGGTCACATGGTACCAGCAACGGGAGCCGGTACTCGGATCTGTCATCGGCCGTGTCCGAGGTGCACGGCCGGTGACAGATCGCACTGCTGCGCCGCTCTGCATTAGCGCAAACGGCGCATGTGCGGGAGCACACCAAATGGCGTGCACCCGGAATTCAGGGACACATTTGAAGCCGCCAAACGGCCATTGGCCGGGCGGCTAATGGTTAAAGAGGAAAGTGTACAAAGAGGTACAGGAGGACTCAGAGAAAGGTTTGAAATGCCGTATTAAATGCTCAAATGTAATTTATGTGCTAGTGTGTCCATACAATCTTATCTATGTTGTGGAAACGATCCAAAAATTGAAGTACTGTTCCATCTAACAGGCATTGCATTAGAAAGAAATCACCATCGCATTGCATTAGAAAGAAATCACGTTGCAGTAGCAGGACACTCAGAGATTGGTCTGCTGTTTATTGCTATGGTTGATGTACTTATATACACAAGAAGAGAAGGTAGAATTTTAGACTGGGGGGGGCTGCTTCAGTAAGTATGGTGGATCAAAAAAGTTAGGGTCATTATGCCCCAATGGTCTTAATTGAGATTATGATCTTTATATAAACTTTTACATATTTTCACATTTCAGGTTCACCTTTAATCTAAGTTCCTTAAAATAGAATTAAGGGCAATTTTTGTTCACTCTGTTAAAAGGACGGTGAACTTTTTGCGTGCCATTTATATCACATTGGGGAGAATTCCTTTCATGTCCTGTCCCTTCCCATAGCCAACATAGTAAGTTTGAGGAAATCCCTACAAAGTGAGAGAATCCCTGGTGATCACCAGGGGCACCAAATCTAGTGTCCCCGTTTGAAGGTTTCAAGTCTATTCCTGTTTTGGTGACAACCCAAAATTGGGGATTTTCTTCCACTTTCACTCTGTGATTACAGTGAAAAATGACAGCATCTCCTGATATGTATATGATTTCGGAGTGTTTTTAACATGGAAGAGAATTCCCAGGCAGGCCACACACTAAAATTGGCACTTCCATGCACCACCAATAGGAAGGGCTGAAATCAAGGTGCACTTTATTCTTTAGGTTCAAGCTATGCTTTGACTTGCTTTGTTTAAGAATTTATTTGACAAAAAAAACTTAAATTTCTGCTCTTAGGAGGAAAATCAATTCCTGAAGATACACCTGTGTGCCGAATATTGTTACGGAAAGAAGTCTTAAGACTTGTCATTAATCTGAGCAGTTCTGTAGGAACAAAGGGTCATGAAACAGGACTTTTAACGTAAGTTTTTTTTTCTCTTTAATGTGATCACCCTTCTCCCAAAATAAATTCTTGTTTTGGGAACAGCTAATTCTGTTTCTTCTCTCTCTCTTTTTTTTTTTTTTTTTTAACTTGTTTCCAAGATTTCGAAGTGTTTTTCTTGTGGGGAGAATAATGGTTTATAGCGTCTGTGCCACTTGAGAATTTTGTATTAGCCTGTGATCCAGACACTTTAATAGGACAGTGATCTGCTGGAAAGTCAAGCACTATTTTATTACCATTGTTTAACTCAAATTCGGTCAAGCTGTTTTAAAAGGCGTTCTTTGGGTCACCATACGTAGTTAGGATAGCCTTAAACTAAATACTTAATGGTTCTGTCCAACGCCACGAGCCCTGCCAAGAAATAATTAGGAAATCCATAACTCCTAGGCAAAGAAGCTGAACCAAGGGAGAACCTACCTATTAGTGTTTAGTCTGGGATGTTTGCAGAAGTGTATTGCTATAACAAGCACCAAGATAGTGTGTGCCGCTGAAACGTTGGGCTTTTCTTGTGCATATCCAATGGAAATAGCTCTGTATTTTTGGTGCATATCTCATTTAAAGTCAGCAAGTTGCATTTAGCCTTCGTCATTCAGTGTTTTCCTAAGGTTGGAGTGCTTACCACTGGTGCTATTCCTCATTCTAGTTTTTACTTGGTGGGGACTTAGGATGTGTAGGACAACTTGTTGGGAGATTGCTTTCCCACTACAGCTTTCTAGAAATTTTACTATAGTGGGAAGTACTGCAAATTAATAGGCAAGAAGCTGCAGTCCTACCGACAGGTTGCCAGGGATAATAGTCAACTTACGAGGGGTGTTCAAGTCAAACCGGGACATTTCATTTTACAGGTATAAAAAGAGATGCAATTGTGGCTATACACGCAGTAGTAAGTGGCAAGTGTTGTCCTATTACTGATAGGCGGCGCACATGTCATGGGCCAGTCCAGAGACCGTTAAGATTGCAGACCACAGTGTTAGTGCGTGCATGGAACAGCGCGTGATGATGAAGTTTCTTGTGAACAAAAGTGTAAAACCCGCGGATATCTACAGAAGACTTCAAGCAGAGTGCAGTGAGGAGGCGCTCAGCCGCAATAAGACATTTAAATGGTGTAAATGTTTCAAAGTTGGCCGTACGTCCATTGGTGACAATCCTGGCTGTGGTGGTTCGCAGCCAACAGCAGTTGTTCCTGTGAACATTTAGTGCGTGAAATGCCTGATACTGGATAATCGACACATAACCTGTTGTGAATTGCACAAGAGCAGGGGCAGGACTGACCATTTGGAAACTCAGGCACTGCCTGAGGGCCCGGGATCAGTAGGGGACCCAATGAGATGCCCCTGGTACCTTTTTCATAGGCTTTTTTGAGTTTGGGCAAGGACACGGGGCCCCATGATCCCCTGTTGCTCGGGGGCCCCATGAGTTGTCAGTCCGCCCCTGCACAACAGTCTAATCTGTCTATGGGAACAGTAAACACAAATGATGACGAAGTGAAGCTGGCTGTCCTAGGATGGACAGCCTGCTTCACTTACTGTACTGACAAATCTTTCTAAGCTGAAGCTTTCCAGGTTTTAGTTAAATGCTGGGATATGTGTTTAAATGTAGCAGGGGAGTATGTCGAAAAATACATGCAGTTTCCACTCCACAATTTGTTCTTTTGCTATATAAATTCAAAAGTCCTGGCTTGACTTGATTGCTCCTCATAGGGAGGGGGTGTGTGGATGATGCCCTAGGCTCACAGGAAATGGGTTAAATAGATAGAAGGTAAGTATTGCAGTGAAAGCTGCATTTTTGTTGGGCATTTGCCTTTTATTTACTCCAAAGAACTGGAGTTGGGCACTAAAGTGGAAAGCACCATAAATTACAAATTTGTATAAAATGTGAACCTATCTGTGGGGTTCCTTTACTAAAGCAAAAAGACTGTGCACTTTGCAAGTGTAGTGGATCCAGAACTTAGTCAATGAGATAACGCTCAACTTTGCAAAGAATACCGAGTCACATGCAAGGAAAATTAGAAAAAAAAAAAAAAACATTTAGCAAAAATGACTTGATAGAAGTCAGCAGTGCTTCCCCTAATTTCCTAAGCTCTGGAGCCACTTCACTTGCACAGTACAGACTCTATTTGCCTTTAGGTAATCAACCCCATTGTCTCCTAAAATCAGTTCATGTAGTCACACTATCCTGCTCTCCACTTCCAAAGGAGGAAGGGTCGCTGCAGAGGGTAAGATGTGATCACATGACACTGGGAGATTTGCTCCACAAAACACTCAATCGTCTTAAAGAATAGAGTGGGGAAGGATTATGACTCTGACAGGTTATACTGCAGTCGGAGGTACTCCATTGGACAGATCCCATCACTTCCTGACACCTCTCATGTAAAAAGGAGGTTTTCCCCAGGACAAGTATGGACAAGCCTCTCGGAGAAATGAAGGCAGCAGTAGAAATGATTTTTTTAAGTTGGGTAGGGAAATGCTAGAACTTTTCTTAGTTTTTGTTTTTTTTTCATATCTTTGTCTGTTTCCTTATTGCATATATCAGACTCCATGGACAGAGAAAGAGGCCTTGTGTGCATAGTTTGGGCCTTAGTGACACATGGGTGCCCTTAGCAGTTGTTTATGAATGTGCTACAAATAGATTGTAGAATAGTGTGTGGAAGTAAAAGTGGCCGCCTCCGGCATTGTGGCATGCAGGACTATGAATCAGCAATTGTCCCTCAGAGCTTTCTACCTTTGGTGTTGTGCAGCAAGTAACTGCAGAGATTGATGCGCTAATTCTGTTTCCTTTCTCCATTTAGGATTAAGGAGAAGTTTCCCCAAGCATTTGATGACATTTGCCTCTACTCTGAAGTTTCCTACTTGTTAGCTCATTGCACATTTCGACTCCCATCTCGAAGGTTCATCCAGGAGCTTTTTCAAGATGTGCAGTTTCTGATTGTGAGTGGACAATAGAAGTTTATTAAAGTGTATAGTTAAAGCAGTATAAAACCCCAAACCAAAAATGTCGGTGGCTGCATTAGTTTTCTTTATTTAGGTTTTTTTCCCCCTCTTGTTTTCATCTGGTGATCTGGTCAGTAACACACCTATATTTGAGTGTCTCCACTCTGGATGAAGGCGCATAAGGGGCACCTTTGGACAGCAGCATTGTCAGTCTGAGGGGAGGGGGGAGTGTTAGATGTATTAGAAGATTTAGATATGTTAACAAATTAAAGCTAAACTACAGCTCACACTTTATACGCAGTCACAGCAAACTGTTTTTGTTTTTTTTCCTTTTGGGATAAAGGTTTTACATAAAAGCTGATCATTGTAAGCACCCTGCTAGTAGTAAATGGTTTGTCTGAACTCTGGAACTGCTACATCTGCAGACCAGCCTGTTCTATTGAAAAACAACAGACTTACTGGCCAGATCACCAGGTGAAAGTAAAGGAATAAAAAATAAAACAGATGCAGTCATCACATCTAAGAATTGGTAAGCTGCAATAGAATAAGTGTTTGCTTTTGGGTTTAATACCGCTTTAAAGTTGAACTCCATGCAAAATGTGAAATAGAGTGAAGAAATACATTATTGTTATTATACAGGATTTATATAGTGCCAACAGTTTGCTCAGCGCTTTACAATATAACGGGAGACAATACAGTTACAATACAGTTCAATACAAGAGGGTTAGGAGGGCCCTGCTCCTCAGAGCTTACAATCTAGGAGGGAGGGGCTAGTGGTACAAAAGGTAGTAACTGTGGGGGATGGACTGGTAGGAAGAGTAGAAGATTCCATTGTTAGCTGATGGCAGGATAGGCTTCCCTGAAGAGATTGCCTAAAAGTGAGCAGAGTAGGCGATAGTCTGATAAATTGGGGGTAGAGAGTTCCAGAGGATGGGGGAAGCTCTGGAGAAGTCCTGGAGACGAGCATGGGAGGAGGAGACAAGGGAGCTAGAGAGCAGGAGGTCGTGGGAGGAGCGGAGAGTACGGTTTCGGTGATATTTGTAGACCAGTGATGTAATTTGGGGCAGACATAAAAAAAAGGAACTGTTTTACCTGCCTGAGTGTTTTGTATTTCTGTTCATCCAGTCCTGCAATTTACTGCTGATTGGACAGAAAGAGCAGCCACAGTAATAAGAATCTCTCTACTCAGTCTGCTGTTCCCTTTAACAGCATGCACCTTGTCAATACCTTTGCATACAGTGCACTTGATTGGTTGGCTTCCAGTTCTGTCCCCCTCACCCAGTCTGAGTGCTACTGTATAGGGAATTTTAATGATTTAGTAATGAATACAAAGTTGCATTCATTTTTGTCTCTTAAAAGCATTAGTAGTTGAGCTACAATTGTTTTATTTGAAACATAGGTACTTTATTATTGTAAGTTGCCTGATGACATCTGAATGTGCAGTGAACCCTCCAAAAGCTGATGTGTGTAGATTATGAGCAAGTCCCTAGGATAAGCTGAAACACGAGTTCCATGGAAATATCAAATTGCTGCAGTCTGAAGAGGTGCCATGTAGTCCATGTTTAAATGAAATGATGGTCAGATGATAGTTTGCTTTCTACAATTTGTGGTGGGACCTCTGGTCTACCAATTAGTGGCCCTTCCATTTGGCCTCTCTCACCTGCACTGCACAAAAGTGCTGGCTCTAGTGATGACCCTCTCACTATCTTCATTTATCACGATTGTGGCTACCTGGACGGCTTGCATTCAGTTGCATGTAGATGAGAAGAAAAAGAAGTCATGTAAAAGTGATATGCTAAATACTATCTTTCAGATATTACTACATACAGTGGATATAAAAAGTCTGCCCACCCCTGTTAAAATAACAGGTTTCTGTGATGGAAAAAGTTCTGAAATGATTGATCTTTTGTCTAGTTTTTTTACACCTTTAATATGGCCATAAACTGTACAACTCAATTGAAAAACAAACTGAAATCTTTTAGTGGGGGGAAGTAAACAAAAAAAAACTTAAATAATGTGGTTGCATAAGTGTGCACACCCTCTTATAACTGGGGGGTAGCTGTGTTCAGAATTAAGCAATCACATTCAAAATCATGTTAAATAGGAGTCAGTACACACCTGCCATCATTTAAAGTGCCTCTGATTAACCCCAAATAAAGTTCAGTTCTAATAGGTCTCCCTTGAAAAAGGGGGATGGCTACTCTTCAGAGCTGTAATTCCTAAACCCTTCCTCCAATTTGGATGTACATACCCTCACATTAAACCCGAGAGTGTGCACTTTCAGCACATATCCATTATATAACTATAGCTTGAATATGTTTTGGTAAATACCTAAAAAAAAAAAAAAAACTAAAATTGTGCCTGTGTCCAAATGTATATGGACTTAACTGTACCATGGAACACAGTGAAGACAGTCATCATCAAGTGGAGAAAATATGGTGCAACAGTGACATTACCAAGAACTAGACGTCCCTCCAAAATTGATGAAAATATGAGAAGAAAACTGGTCTGGGAGTCTGCCAAGAGGCCTACAGCAACATTATAGAAGCTGCAGGAATATCTGGCAAGTACTGGCTGTGTGGTACGTGTGACAACAATCTCCCGTATTCTTCATATGTCTGGACTATGGGGCAAGACTAAAGCCTTTTCTTACGAAGAAAAACATCCAAGCCCGGCTATATTTTGCAAAAACACATTTGAAGTCTCCCAAAAGCGTGTGGGAAAATGTGTTATGGTCTGATGAAACCAAGGATTAACTTTTTGGCCATAATTCCAAAAGATATGTTTGGCACAAAAACAACACTGCACATCACCAAAAGAACACCATACCCACAGTGAAGCATGGTGGTGGGAGCATCATGCTTTGGGGCTGTTTTTCTTTAGCTGTAACAGGGGCCTTAGTCAAGGTAGAGGGAAATATGAACAGTTCCATATACCAGTCAATATTGGCACAAAACCTTCAGGCTTCTGCTAGAAAGCTGAACATGAAGAGGAACTTCATCTTTCAGCATGACAACGGCCCAAAGCATACATCCAAATCAACAAAGGAATGGCTTCACCAGAAGAAGATGAAAGTTTTAGAATGGCCAGCCAGAGCCCAGACCTGATTCCGATCGAAAATCTGTGGGGTGATTGGAAGAGGGCTGTGCACAGGAGATGTCCTTGCAATCTGACAGATTTCTAGTGTTTTTGCAAGGAAGAGCAGGCAAATATTGGCAAGTCAAGATGTGCCATTAACCACTTGGTAAGCACGCTATAGCTGAATACCGGCTACAGCCCGGTTACCCAGTTCTGGGAGGCCATCATTTGACGTCCTCCCAGAACGTGCCCCCGGCGATCTCAATGATCACTGTCTCCTATGGACACAGCTGATCACGTGATGAGGTAAAAGGCCAATCACAGCGGCCTTTTACCTCGTGGTCAGCTGTGTCCAATGACACCACAAATCATGGAGTAAATACAGTTGCCGGTTATCGACAGCACTTTCCTCACACGGTCACAGTGTGAGGAAAGTACTGGTGATAACCGGCAGCTTTCACACCGGAGATCGGCACTGATGATCGGTGCCATATGTCAGAGCTGTCAGCTCCACCCGTCAGTAGTGCCCATCTGTGCCGCCTATCAGTGATCATCATTGCTGCATATCAGTGCAGCAGCATCAGTGCCTCCTCATCAATGCCCACCAGTGCCACATAATCAGTGCAGCCTCATCAATGCACATCAGGGAAGGAGAAAAATTACCTGTTTGTGACATTTTCTAATAGAAACAAAGAAAAACGTGTTTTTTTTTCATTTTTTTGCTCTTTTTTTGTTTTTATAGTGCAAAAAATAAAACACCCATCAGCGATTTAAATACCACCAAAAGAAAGCTCTATTTGTGTAATAAAAAAAAAATTATAAAAATTTCATATGGATACAATGTTGCATGACCACGCAATTGTCATTCAAAGGGCAGCAGTGCTGAAAGCTGAAAATTCATGGGCACGAAGTGGGTATAAGTGCCTGGTAGGAAAGTGGTTAAAGGCGGAAAAAGTTCTAAAATTATTTATCTTTGTCACATTTTTACACAGAAACCTGACATTTTGATAGGGGTGTGTAGACTTTTTATATCCACTGTATGGTAACCTGAATACCATATTTATGGCTATAGTAAGCCTTTAATACTATATAAATGCAGACTGCTGAAAGGAGCTGTGGATTAGTTGGTGTAGCTCACACAACACTCTGCTATCTGCACTTGTGTTGTTTTCCTGCATTTGAGATACGTTTAAATCCCCTTCCCATTCACCTAATACATGCTTTGTGTAAATGACAGTTATGAGGCTACCTTTGACCTGCTTTGTGTTGTCTTTCTAGATGCAGCATGTCCTCATTAGACCCATTTGAATTGGCAAAGCAGACCAAGTACAGCCTTTTGCTGATTTGCATTGGAATGCAGGATTTAGAAGTGCCAATAACCCCCGGGTGCTTTTTTTGCCTACACAGTCACTCTGTTTTTGTTCTCTACAATAGCTAATCTAGTCATTATTTTTTTCTCTTTTTAACAGATGCATGAAGAAGCAGAAGCTCTCTTAGCAGTTCCACCAAAACAACCTATAATTGCTGCTGATGCTGAATCATGACCCTAGATTCCTGTGATCAGCAGGAAGTAATGGACATTTGCCTGGCTGACTGGCCCACGGACACAGGAGCACCTTCTCTCGTTCAGTATGCTATGTGCACTGTGAATGAAGAATATGAATATTATATATATATATATATATATATATATATATATATATATATATATATATATATATAATTATAATACACACACTTTTTTTTTTTTTTAATTTGAACAGTGATCATTTTTTTTGTTCACCCTCCAACCAGGGGAGTTTCCTGTCAACGCAAATGTGGCTATTCCAAACATAAATACCTTTGTATGCAAGAGCCAAGCACTGATACAACCACGAATCCTATAAATACCTATGTAAATAGCTGGACACTTTGCAGAGACTCATTGTCTGTCCTCGAGCAGTATGATGCCTTGTATAATGACCCTTTCTTACAGATCGGTATTTTCCTGCATGGCCCTTCCAATCCACCTGCCAAGATTTTAGGGACACCTCAGGGACGAAGACCCTGTAATGCTTTTTTCAAAACACTACTTAGATGAGGATGTATGCGGCCTCTCTTTTATAACCCAAGAAAGAAGCAACCTAAGATTACCTGCTGCCATCACAGTAGAATGCTTAATCTTTTATTTGCCACTGTAACTCTGTAACCTCTCTTCCCCCCCAGCAAAACTATAAAAACACTTTCATGGATAAGATAAACGTTATGTGTCCCTGAACCTGACTGATGATAATTGATTCCTTCTCCATTTTCTGAAGCTAGCAAGTGTTTTATGGCCATAACCGATGCTCAGAATCCAGTCTGTTGTATAGGAGGACACCGCCACCTTGATACATTTCACCTCTGTCAAAGGTCTCACGGGAAGCAAGCAAGACGTGACGTCGGGCATTTTGCACATTCCGCCAGAAGACAAAGAAAACAAAAGACAATCTGTTTATAAATTGGATATATTTTTATTTATCACATTATGACCTTACATGACTGCTAGAAGTATTCTGGATATGCCAGAGGAAGATCTAGCACAAAACAATGTCTGTCTTTTTGTCTCTTTATTTAATGCCAGTGTTTTTTTTTTTTTTTTTTTGTTTTTTTCTTTCCCCCCCTTTGTTTTAATAGATTTGCACAAGACATATTCATACAATGTAATTGGTCGGAAGAGGCTGATGGCTTTGACACATGCACCTTTTCTGTTTTTTTTTTTTTGTTTATACATATCTATCTTAAATTGAATGGAAATGTTCTGAATTTCAACTTTTTTCTCGCTGACGGAATTTATCTGACCATTTGCAGAGCAAAGTGTTGGATCCCTTCTGCCAGTCAAAAGGTGAAGATATGCAAATATGTATATAACTAGCATGGACAAAGTCACTACATTGCGCGTATGTAAACTCACATTTTATGATGTTGAATGGCTTGAGTGTATGTATATATCATCCAGCTGGACTGTTAGAATCTGTGCAAATGAGGAATTACGTGTGTGCTAAACAGTGTAAATCTTTCATCACAAAGTATGTCCGATTTGCTTACCGGAAAACAAAGAAGAAAAAAAAAAAAAGGTTGGCGCACACAGTGATACTGAAACTCTGTTTCCATGTGTGAAACAATGTATAAAATGCAATTAAATTGTATGATAATTTAAAATGAGCCTTTTTGTGTTGTAGTGCATTTTTTTTTCATGCAAGTTAAAGTATATGTAACCCTAAAAAGAACTGTTCTTATGTGTTCCCATTTTTGGTCTTTTAAATATACCATTGATAGTGTTTTGTTATATCTGTTTAATATGTGTAAAAAAGAAAAAAAAACTGTTAATCCAGTGCACTCTGCAGTGTTATGTCAAACAAAAATATTAGGAAGCTTGACCTCCCCACTATATTATGGAGAGGAGAAGGTGTTCTGTAGTCCTCACACTCATCCTTTCCTGGCAGCGCAGCTCCTCAGTAGATACATTCTGGTAGGGGAGTGCTGTCACCTTAGTAGCTGTTGGTGGCATGTGAGCTTTGGAGGTACCTGTTAAAGCAGGAGTAGCTCCCCCTAATCAGACATGTTGCACAGCAGTGTGAAGAATCAACAGCTCAAGGTACAAGGCTAAACTTCAGATACTCACTAACCAACTGCTTGGAAGCAGACGTAGGGTCAGGTGGCCAAAGGTGAAAGTCACTGTAGTCATCTGTGAGGATGGACCAAAGATCGGAATTTCACGTGGACATTGGAAGCAGGAGCAGCAACCGGAAAGTGCTGAATGGCAGGAAAAGAAAGTGTGCATATGACACTACCTAGAGAATGTCAGCGCACAATCCCTCAGCATTAACCCTTTCTGTGATGAAACCAATGAGAAACGGAAATTTGAAGAAGCCCAGTAGTAGCTCCCCGTTATCGACGCAAATTGGCTACTTAGAAAATAAGTCTTCAGAGATGGGAAGCCACGCGGCTCTGAAACTAGAAAGCACTCTGCAGCTAATTTTTACCAGTTAGCCGCCTAAGCAGAGTCCCAATGTCTGAATGTCACATTCCAGTAAGTAGAGATCAGCTTTAGACCGCCCATATATTAGTCGGTTTTTGTTAGTTTTTTTTTTTAATTCAGCCAGCAGGGAGCTATTGTATTCTGACAGCTGTGAGACTTCCTTGCAGTCAGAATACACAGATCAGCCCTGCAGTCTATAGCCTGCAGTGTCGATCGAACAAGGAAAATTTGACAGAAGTCTTTTGATAGGTCAACTTCTGTACAACCACAGTGACCATAAATGGACCAAAGTTTATGCGGTCCCTGCTGAACCAGCCAAATTTAAACCCATGTATGGCCTGCCTAAAGTGATATTAACCTCCCTGGCGGTCTGATTATGTCAATATTTTTGAATGTCAAAGCGGTATATTGTTTTGCATGGAAATTTGTTGTTTTATATTGTAGGCCTGTAATTCTTAGGAATAATTCACTTAAATCTGTTCAAACAAGAGTCTAATAAACATACCAGGTATGATAAAGCTTGAAACACGAAATCATAAATTATAATACAGGTGTACCTCGGTTTACGAAAGCCTCGGGTAACATAATTTTTAGTTTACAAATGAAAATTCATTGAAAATAATGCATTGGTTTACGATTTTTGTTTTCGCAATACGACGTAAGTTTCCCCAGGATGCATTGCGCCTGGGAGGTTTATAGCGCCGGCCCCGTGCCTTTAAAGTGCACTTTATAAAGAGTTTTGAACAGATAAGACTTTTGACTTTTTTTCTCACCTCCGGGACGGATTAATTGGTTTTCAGTGCATTCCTATGGGAAACTGCGTTTCGGTTTACGAAATTTTCACAATACGAAATGTCCCAGAGAACGCATTAAATTTGTCAATCGCGGTACGCCTGTATAATAATTATAAAAAATAATATAATAAATTTAATTCAATAATGTAATCAAACCAAAAACACAAATTTGAAATAGAGCACCAAGTTCGCACATCACTGAGCTCAGTTGCAGAATCGTCGTTGATGAATTTCCCCACGGATCACTATCGCTCAATTATGCAAGGGATTCTAATTCTCTCTCGCTGTTTTTTAGCTGGTCTAAAACCGCTTTTGACCTAAAGGGGCGCTTTTTGGATGCCATGGACGTTCTCAAGTTTCCAGGCAGAAAGAATGGTAAAAGTGCAGGCAGGCTACAGGACAAAGCACTAGGGACAAAAGTTAGGTGAAATGTTTTGATACAGTAATGTAATCCTAACAGATTACAATGTATTGTGTGTATGTCATGTTTTTCCTTTTTTGTAATCTCCCACCGGTTCCTTCCCCCTGCGTCGCGACGCTCGCAGGGAAGAGAACCCGGAAGACGGATGCCGGCATTGGCCGGAAGACACAGCGGGAGGACACCGGGGGATTGCAGGACAAAGTAATCCCGAGTGTGGCTCGGGGTTACCGCTTTTGGTACTGAAAATTAACCCCACGACACACTCGAGATTACTGCTAGGAAGGTTAAAGGATCAAAATTTTAAAACAAATCATGTTATACTTACCTACTCTGTGCAATGCTTTTGCTCACTTGCATCTGAAGTCCCCCCTCCTTGCAAGCCATTTGCTGGAAGGGGGGGTTATTGTGCTGGCTTGCCCCACTTGTCCATAGATGCAGACAACTGGGCTTTGCTGTGCCCCCCACTCCCTCCTCACTGTCTGGGCTGTGATAGACAGCAGCCGATGGCTCCCGCAGCTTTATCTGAGCCATTGAGGAGGCAGAGAGCTGGGACAACAGCTGCTCTCGTGCACACCACTGGATCAGGCTTGGGCTCAGGTAAGTGTGGGAGGCTGGGAACGAGACTTCATGCATAGTGAAAAAAAAAAAAAAAAAAACCTTCAGCCTTTACAACCACTGTAAGCAGCGATGTATCAGAAATCTTGATAGAAGATGAAAGCTAGCAAAACAGGCTAGACTTTTCTCAGCAGTCCTGAGAAAAGATGACCACCCTTCTAGAACACTAATAAAACTGGCAAGCCGGGAATAGGACGAGTATCTTGTGTTGGCCTACAACTTTTTTTTCTGCCAATGTCAATCCTGTAGGTGGCAGTTTAAGCTGAAAGTACAGTATATGACTTTCTGTATCCATCAATGGATGTGGAAATTTGTAAATTAAATCAGAATTCCTTCTCACAGATCAGGTAATAGAAGTACTTTCATTTATTTCCAAAATGTAACAATATTTGATATAGTTTAAGTACAAAAATAAAACCATACAAATGCATGAATATTTGGAATAATACATTTGAACAGTGTATATATCCCAGCCTTCTGCGTGGGATTCAACAATAAGAGTGTGTGTGCTTTTACAGGAAATCTCTACTGAGAAGTAATAGAAGCTGCCGTTCCTTACCTCCTGCTCTGAAAACACTAGTCCCAGGCTATCATGTTATACCTTAAGGCTTTAGGAGTTAGTGATCCAGGACAGGTCAGTAGCTCTGAGGTTGATTTACTAAAGGCAAATAAATAGGCTGTTTGCTTTGCAAGGGGACTTTGCCTAACTTAATGAATGATTACTCACAAGTAAAAAAAAAAATATATATATATATATTTGTTTGAACATGATTGGTTGATGAAAGTCAGCAAATATTCACCTCGTTCACTAACTAAGGGAAAATTCCCTAGCAAAGTGAACTATAACTATTGTTTTGCCCTTAGTAAATTGACTCCTCCTTGATTTCTTGTGGGTCTGTGACTTGGGGAGTATGAATCCTAGAAGCAGCCAAGCAACTAGCATTTTTCAGAAAAGTCAGAATGACAGCCTTCATGTTCAGTTAGGTAAAACTTTTTGTGTACATAAAATCAGCACAAGCAGCGGTACCTACCTTTAATCTGACGTGTCCCTCGTGCTGGTGCCAGCTGTCCTATTCAAAATCTTCTTTCCCCCTCTATACCTTGCAGCTGTAGTCATGTGTTGCAGGGGTTAATCTGCACAACCTCCTATTTGACCCCCCTATATCCTAGAAGCTCTACTATAGCCTTCATGAATGAAAAGCGATCTATGAATGGAGGATGAATGAAAGGTTCACTGCCTCCATTCACAAAGCGCTTTTCACTCATGAAAGCCAGTGCAGAGCAGGATGATAAAAAGCACGTGACCCCTCTTTTCTTCTCCAAGGAAGATGGGGGGTATAAAAATCCCTGTCCATGAACAGATACCACAAGCTGCCATACCAATACCACACTCTTGTTGAACAGGGGGGTGGCAGTAGGTGAGGCATAGTTCTGTGGAAACACACTATAACTAGATTCAGAGAGGCACACAGAAGAAGCTTTACTGGCCAACAAAAACAGTAAGCATGTTTTGGTGTCTGCTCTTAGGCTTGACATTTACTTTTAAAAGTTTAAAATGGAGATAATTTAATATATTAAAGTGTTACTAAACCCACAACAGTGAAATCAGTCTGTATATGCAATAAAGCATGCTTGTTATACTCACTGTGGAACCTAAGGGGTTAATTTTTATTATACAGGATTTATACAGCACCGACAGTTTGCTCAGCGCTTTACAATATAACGGGAGACAATACAGTTCAATACAAGAGGGATAGGAGGGCCTGATCCTTGGAGCTTAATCCTCTGCATTGTGTAAAAAGGTGGTTTGATCCTTTCTTCTCTGCCCCTCTTCTTGTTGAAATGGCCACCTGATACAGACTGAATCCGTAGTCATGCACAGTTTGGTGTTTATTGCTAGAGAGGTTTGTTTTTGTTTGTCTTGGAGGGTTCATGTGATCAGCACAGGGCCAATCAGCACTGTCCAGACAGAGGATCAAGAGTTTCACATCCTAGAGCAGAAAGAAAACTCCTCCTACAAGCTTTAACCAGTGCTCTGCTGAAGTCACAAGACTGCTCTAACTGCTGATGAGAAAAGGTATTTAGCAGTTTATAATTACTAAAACAATTGCATTTCCATGTAGTGTGTACTGTGGGAGACCAGATTTAGTGAATGCAGGGTCCGGGGGTTTAGTAACACTTTAACTTTATTACTAGGAATGAGCGAAGAGAATTTGCCACAAAGCTGTATTTGTGTACAGTCATTTTCAATTTCTTAAACCTTTTTTTTTTTTTCTCAATTGTCTTTTTGTGGAAAAAATTAGATTGTTGAGTCTAAAGAGGGGCCATCTTTGTCGTCAAACAGGTCCAGGATATTTCAAGCAACTTCCATAATCCTCAGCAGATGTTAAAGCCCATTGCATTAAAAAAAAAAGAAGATACAAAAACTACCAAAAACATGTTTTTCCATCTTCATTAACTCCAAAGCATTGTAATGGCAAAATGTTACTGAAATGCCAGCAGTGACACATCTCTGCCCTCCCCTCTCAGGTTATCTAGCCTCCTAATTTCTAAATGAACACAGAGCAGGTGCTTTGATCAGAAGGGGAGCAGGGTTAGCTAAGCTGCTGAAAGAAAAACTGCTTCTTTTGTGAAATTGAGGATAAATTGCTCCACAGTGTCTTCAGCTACAAAGGTTCGTGAGGGTTTATTTTTAAATTTATTTACTGCTGGTAACAAATACAGTATGTAAATGTGTTACTGTCCATAACCTGGCACAGTGGAAACCTTTCCTTGTCCACTGGCTGCTTAGCTCTGGCCCCTCTCTATTTATGCTACACAGTAAAGGTCCTGATGGCCAGACCTGCCAATTCTAGTAAATTTTTGTACTGATTCGGACCAATCTGAACAGCAACAATTAAGAAAACATATGGTAGTGGATAATCCCAAGTGAAGGACAAATGACTACCTATTGTTGAAAATAGAAAACATACAAGGTTAATAGGTAATAAATAAAAATGAAAACCAATGTAATTTTTTGGCCACATTTTACACAGGCTACCACTGTAAGCCTTAGTCTTTGTGAGTTTCTTGAAACGTAAACTGTATCTGATATTTTTGTTTGCAAGTTCAAGTCCTACCTAAATGAGAAACAAGAAGATGCTCATTATTATTATTACCCTTGTTTGCCAGAGACCCTACCCTGTGTGCCTCTCTGAAATTAGTTTCACGCTGTTATGAGGCACCTGATTTCTAACCTCAGGGCTAAACCCCACCAACCACTGTCACCATGGCCAGTGATGAGCATTAGGGGCCAGGAAGGACACTTTCACAGGACAAGGAATTGGCAGGTCTTAAAGTTAGAACATGTATTATGATGGGATCTTCAATATGAACTCATTCCTAAAACTAGCCATACGTGGTTCAGTTTTTCATTCAGCCAGCTGCCGAACGAGAAAAAAAAAAAAAAGAACCGATTGCCCCATCCCTACATTCATAGTAGATGAAGGAATCCTGCCCACTGCACTATAGTATTTTGGCAGAGGGGAGACTCCCCTACTGTCAATGTACATAGATCAGAGCTGCGGCCACTGATCAAGCGGCTTTTATCTAACAGGGCTGTTGAATGGTAGATCAACATCTCTGAATGCAGGCCACACATGTATTGAAATTCAGTTAGTCCCTGCTGAACCATCTGAATTTTAATCCATCTATGGCCACCTTTATGCTTCTGAAGGCATGAATATGAAAGTATTTACCTAATCATTAAATATAGGTTTGTACCCACCCTGCCCTGTGAAGGTGCTTGGGTGTCCAAAAAGGGCACTCAGACTAGACAGCCGAATGGCAGGTCTTAGTTCAAATGTTGGGGACTACAGGCCCTTAGTAACAACCTTACACTACTTTCCTGGCGCAAGGAAAAGCAAATTACAGTATTTGATACAATTTTCCTGTTGGCAGCACACCCTTTAGTATGCTCCCATGGTGCTAGGAAAGGAAAATTATGGTAGGTATTTGATACAATTTTCCAGTTTCAGAGAGGGAAACTGAGATGGGGGTTAACAAAATCCTTCTAAACCTTGGGTTTGTTCACAAGATTGCTACTTTTACTAAGTAGGCAATAAAAATACCTGAGAACACAAGTAGGTAGTTACAATATCTCAGTGCACTTAGTATAAGTTCACTTTTCATTATTGGTGCAAGGCAAGTCCTATTTCCTTTTCCTTACAATGAAAATAGCTCACATTTTTTACATTTCTTCTAGCAGTGCATGAAGTATTTTCTTAATGCCAACAATTTGTTTTGTTCTCTATTTGTACTGAATTTCTATGTCCAAAGAATTGAATTAGCTGCATGGATATCTTTGGGTCTGCTGCAAAATTATGGAGGATTCCATCAATCTTTGAGTATGAATGAAGTGGAGTTTACAGAGGTTGGACTCACTGGCTCGTTTTCAATGGCAGAAAGACTTAAATGATGTCCTGACTCTAACACTGGATCCTGTGGGTAACTGCCACTTGGAAGCTCACCAGAAGATTGATATAACTGGAGGGAACCCATCTGAGGTCTGTATCCAAGGCTCTCCTCATACGAGTCATCTGAAGTACCAATGTAGTTGTCATTGAAGAACTCAAGGTAGGTGGGTGACTGTGGTTTGTATAGCAGATCCTGTGTTGTTTGATTAAGAGGGCGTTCAGCGAAGTACATATCCTCAGAGGTTTCTGTAGGGGTAGTATTAGCAGGTCTCTGGATGGTAGAATACATCACTTCTGTTTGCTGGTCTCTGTTATCATTTAGGTTATGGCCAATATCCATCTTTTCCAGGACATAAACACATTCTACCTTCTGAGGAGCACTAACGTCTGGTAAGACATTGATACATGTTGGTCCCTGTTAAGAAACAAAAATATATCTTATAACCCAGCCAGATTTACTATTAACAGATGTATGCCTATGCCTACAGTTGTTTGAAAGAGATGGCTTTCCCTGTACAACAGTGGTCTCCAAACTGCGTCCCTTTGCTTGCCTCTATCCGGCACTCGGGGTACAATTCCTCCCAGTGACTCCAACAAGGTGGCACCATTTCTTCCAATGGCACCAACTATGGGGCATTTTTCCTTCCACTGACACCGATGATGGGGCACAATTCCTCCCGCTGATATAAACAATTAGATAGTATTCCGCCAACTAATACCAAGGATGGGGCACTATTTCTCCAACTAATACCAAGGATGGGGCACTATTCCTCCCACTGACACCAATGATGGGGCACTATTCCTCCCAGTAGTAGCAAGGATGGGGCACTATTCCTCCCACTAGTACCAAGGATGGGGCACTATTCCTCCCACTAGTACCAATGACGGCACACTATTCCTCCCAGTAGTACCAATGACGGGGCACTATTCCTCCCAGTAGTACCAATGACGGGGCACTATTCCTCCTAGTAATAACAATGACGGGGCACTATTCCTCCCACTAGTACCAATGATGGGGCACTGTTCCTCCAACTAATACCAATGATGGGGCACTATTCCTCCTAGTAATACCAATGACGGGGCACTATTCCTCCCACTGATACCAATGATGGGGCACTATTCCTCCTAGTAATACCAATGATGGGGTACTATTCCTCTTAGTAATACCAATGATGGGGCACTATTCCTCCAACTAATACCAATGATGGGGCACTATTCCTCCAACTAATACCAAAGATGGGGCACTATTCATCCCACTGACACCAATGGTGGAGCACTATTCCTCCCACTAATACCAATGATTGGACACTATTCCTTTATCCACTGACTACAAACACTGTAATTTTTTTTATTCCTACCAACACTGGGGCATTTTCTACCCCCACTGGGCCCTCCAGCCCTCCTGAAGTCTGAAGGACAGTAAACCGGCCCTTTGTTTAGAAAGTTTGGAGACCCCCTGCTGTACAGTTATCTGTCATCAGTTGAAACAGCCATCCTATAGAATCATATTTACACATTGTCACAATATTCTTAACCTGTTAAGACAACTTCATAAAAAAAAAAGTTCTTAAAGCGGAGCTCCACCCAAAATTGGAATTTCTGCTTTAAGTCTTTGTCCCCTGCTACCCATAGGGGATTGGCACCTTTGGGGAGCGGGTACCCGAATTTGACAGGTACCCGCTTCCACTTTCGCTGCAATTGCCTAAGGCGATCGACTACGGGGCCATTTATAAAGCGCAGCGCTACTCATGTATGCACAGTGGGCACCTGGCTGTGAAGCCGCAAGCTGTCACAGCCGGGTGCCCACACTGAAGATGCCGGCACCAGGTAGAGAAGACAGCCGGTGAAACCACCGGTGGTGAGGACACCGCTGGTCCGAGGGACAGGTAAGTGACTGTATTTAAAAGTCAGCAGCTGCGGTGTTTGTAGCTGCCGGCCTTTTTTTTTTTTTTTTTTTTTTCAGCTGGAACTCCGTTTTAATTCAAAGAAAAGATAAGTTGCCTTGGACACTAAAGGTTGTGAGCTGACATACTTCCAGACTGTTTATATTTAACAGAGTACTCATAAAAGCTTCTTAGGCTACTCATATGTGGTGAGATACTTGCAAGCGATACAACTGACTCAACCACTATCGCAGTGTAAGGTATTCCCAGTATGATTACTAATTCTTTTTTAATTCTATGCAAAGATTTGAAAAAAGAAACCTTTTTACAAAGAGGTTCCAATAACATCCCTGGTGTGATCTGTGGTGTGTTTGCGAAGTGGAAAAATGCAGCATGTCTTAAAATTACTTGCACGCCAAACGCCGCTACTCCTATATTTTCCCCACAGGTCATCAGTTTAGAATTTACCATGAATAATGCTTAGAAGTATTACTCTCACCAACATTAGGGGCGAGTTGGAACCTGTATCGCAATCAATGCTTGTATTTACATACGGGGGGAGGGGTCAACTGCTTTTTGTTTTTTTCCGAATGTTTATTTTTCATCACATCGGGACAAAAGGTTCCCTATGTCATTATAACTCTAAGGCTAGGTTCACATATGTACGGGTGGTGCCGCTGCGGATCCGCACGAAAATCCGTGTAGCCGCACCACCCACAGAGGAATGTGGACCACCCGCGGGCAGGTGCCATTAGTTCTAATGACACGTTGCCCGTACTGGAAAACGCAACTGTACTGGGAACCGAAGTTCCTGTGCGGGCTGCGTTTTCAGAAGAAGTGCAGGGACTTCTTCCCTGTGTGTCACGTGGCACAGGAGTTCATTCAAATGAATGGGCTTTTATTTCCATACACACAAATGCATTGGGAACACTGCACATTATATTCCAAATCAAAACATGAAAAAAAATATATCACATTTGTGTTATTCCTCTAAAAAAAATTGAAGAAAAGTGAATATTGGATTGTTCAAAAAAATAGCAGTGTTTGTATTCTTCTTTACAAACTCAAACATTCACTATATAAACTGAAAAATGTTTGAAGATTTTGCTTTCCTTTGAATCACTTCATTAATATTTAATTGTATAAGCACTGTTTCTGAGAACTGCTGTACATCTGTGTTGCATGGAGTCAACCAACTTCTGGCACCTGTGATCAGGTATTCCAGCCCAGGATGATTGGACTACATTCCACAGTTCTTCTCTATTTCTTGGTTTTGCCTAAGAAACTGCATTTTTGATGTCACCCCACAAGTTTTCTATTGGATTAGCATCCGGGGGATGGGCTGGCCACTCCATAACGTCAATCTTGTTGGTCTGGAACCAAGATGTTGCACATTTACTGGTGTGTTTGGGGTCGTTGTCTTGTTGGAACACCCATTTCAAGGGCATTTCCTCTTCAGCATAAGGCGACATGACCTCTTCAAGTATTCTGATGTATTCAAACTGATCCATGATCCCTGGTATGCGATAAATAGGCCCAACACCGTAGTATGAGAAACATCCCCATATCATGATGCTTGCGCAACCATGCTTCACTGTCTTCACAGTGTACTGTGGCTTGAATTCAGTGTTTGGGGATCGTCTGACAAACTGTCTCCGGCCACTAGACCCAAAAAGAACAATCTTACTTTCATCAGTCCACAAAATGTTGCGCCATTTCTCTTTAGGCCAGTCAATGTGCTCTTTGGCAAATTGTAACCTCTTCAGCGCGTCTTTTTTTCAACAGTGGGACTTTGCGGGGGCTTCTTGCAGATAGCTTGGCTTCACGTAGGTGTCTTCTAATTGTAACAGTACTCACAGGTAACTTTAGACCTTCTTTGATCTTCCTGGAGCTGATTGTTGGCTGAGTCCGCGCCATTCTGGCTATTCTTCTATCCATTTGAATGGTAGTTTTTCGCTTTCTTCCACGTGTTTCAGGTTTTGGTTGCCATTTTAAAGCATTTGCGATCAATTTTAGCTGAGCAGCCTATCATTTTCTGCACTTCTTTATAAGTTTTCCCCTCTCCAATCAACTTTTTATTCAAGGTACGCTGTTCTTCTGAACAATGTCTGGAACGACCCATTTTCCTCAGGATTCAGAGAGAAATTCACTGTAACCAGCATGTACAACATTTGCTGCCTTCCTTCCTTAAATAAGGGCAATAATAGCCACCTGTTTTTTAAAGAATGAATGACCTCACTAATGGAACTCCACACTGCTATTATTTTGAACATGTCCCTTTCAATTAGTGATTCAATTACACAGAATTAGCAGCATGCATGTCATGACTGTTGGGTCTGTTGGATTTCTATTACTCTACTACACCTGCTAGTAAATTATTTGCCATGTAGAAATATCATTTCTACCAAAAACAGTGATTGATCAGGTTAGTGATGTCTGACTGCTATTATTTTGAACACAACTGTACATCTAAACCCAAGGAAAACATGTTTTAATTCAACAATGTATACTTAGAGCCTAGCAAAAGCTCATCGCTTTGGAGTTTACCAATATGTTTGCAATTATTGTTCTTACACCTGCCTATCTATTGTATGGATCCCTAACAGTCAGAGCTCTGCTTCACCTTTGAGCCGCACCAAATCTCTTAATTATTAAAAATACAGCTCTTACGGGAATCTGTCCTTTGCTTATCAGCTCTGCCTTGTGCCCGGCCTTATTAAAGTGAGAGCCAAATAGTGGAAACCATTTACCTTTGCTGAACTGAAGGACAGGACCTTGCTCTTGTTAGGATTAGGAATATTAGGATAACATGTTTCTTTCAACCTGGGAAAAAAAACATAAGTAGATAAAAATGCTCAAATGGTCGGCGCTGTATAACAGTAATATCATTAATTAAGTTAAAGATTTGTGCACGTTATGGCATTTCGCAGTTACAATTTTGGCCCCAAAAGATGAAACAAAAATTCCTTCCTGACCTTCCAAGAGGAGCTTGATCATTTAATGGATGTAAATATTCCCAAATGCTTTAAAGTGGCTCTAAAGCAGGGGTGTCAAACTGGTGGCCCTCCAGCTGTTGCAAAACTACAAGTCCCATCATGCCTCTACCTTTGGGAGTCATGCTTGTAACTGTCAATCTTGCAATGCCTCATGGGACTTGTAGTTTGGCAACAGCTGGAGGGCCGCCAGTTTGACACCTGTGCTCTAAAGTCAAGACATTTTATTACCTTAATAAATCCCCTGCATTATGGTAAAAAACATCCTGTGACGGGAGTTACTTTAGGTGGAGGGGCCATCTCACTTTGGAGAGGTGGGGAGACACCTGTCTCAGCTCTCCATATCCCTATTATGTGTAAGTCACCCTGTGCCTGTTAGAGGTACAGGGTGATCTGTCCTAATATTGGGGTGGGGGGTTGTTGATTGTTTAATGCCATGTGGTTGCATCCCATTGTTCTATTGTGTGTCTTGCTTGGGAGCAAACTATTATGGGATGTGTTTGTGTATTGGCTTGGTGGGGGTTGTTTCCAGCAGCCCTCCTGATGGGACTGTCTGTTGGTGTGTCTCTTCTTACTAAAGGTAGATTGCCCGCCCTGTGTCATGCAAGGAGGGGGGTTGCTCCCTTGAATGTATATATCTTGTATCTGTGTTAAAATAAAGTAGTCTATTTCCTGGTTTACTTCAAATCTGTGGTGCGGTGTTCGGACAGGGAGCGGTATTCTAACGGAAGTACTCAGCGCAGGCTTGGACGGTTACATTACATATCACAGTAGTTGTTTCACCACTAAACACTCACCTGAATCCTCTCTCAATCCAGCGTTGTGCTCATCTGCAGCAGCACTCTTCCTTTTCTCACAGGACACAGAGGCAGCAGCGGGAACTGTGAGGAGGGAGTGGGGGATGAGGCTGAGCTCCGCTGTGGGAGTCTAGAGACGCACAGCCCGATTCAGGAGCACACCCACATGGCTTGCTATTGGGGTACTCGCAGGAGAGGAGGAACAGACAGCACTGGTGGGAGACCCCAGAAATGGAGGTAACAGTGTGGTGGCTACATTAGTTTTCATGTTTTAACAAGTACAGAAAATAGATGTTACTTTTGCCAGAAATGCAGCATCCTTGTCATGTCTCCTGAGCTGAACTGAAAGCACAGACTATGTTACCTTCCTTCTAAACTACTGCACCTTCTATAAACTACAATTTCCCCTGGCCCTATGTAATGAAGTGCTAAACGTGTTTGAAGTCCAAATATAATGCACATATTCCCCAGCACACCATGGATCATCAAATAGTGTCCAAATCTTTATTGAAGACATGGTAAAGCGTTTCTGAGCTGCGCAGGACCCCTCCATCAGGCATGTGATCACAACATTGCATATTCTCTGTGATGTGATTGTTGTTTAATAAAGATTTCTCCGCCCCCTGCTTTCTGACAGCCTACAGAAGCTTTATAAATTCTGAAATATTGACCATATATACAGAAGAGAAGACTGCAGATAGACAAGTACAACATATGTAGGAGGATTGTTTAATCTCTGTGTATCACCTGGGGATAGTCCCCTTACTGGGTATATGGAAGGGTTTACAACCACTATAAGGAGCAGCTGGATTCGCCTTGGATAGATATTCAAAGCACTCTGTTACAGTCATTATATAGTTCTGCACAGACAGCGACTCCATATAGACACATATAACAATGTATACAGAATGAACCTTATAGCTATAACAAAGGAACAGTGGAACACGTGTGAGTTGCAGTCTGTGAGATGTATTTGACAAATCCAGTTTAACCACTTGCCCACCAGAGGATTTACCCCCCTTCCTGACCAGGCCATTTTTTGCAATACGGCGCTGCGTTACTTTAACTGACAATTGCACAGTCATGCAACACTGCACCCAAATTAAATTTATGTCCTTTTTATCCCACAAACAGAGCTTTCTTTCAGTGGTATTTTATCCTTGTGCCTTTTTTATTTTTTGTACTATAAAAAAAAAAGACTGACAATTTTGAGAAAAAAAAACAATATTTTTGACTTTTTGCTATTAAACATGTCCAGTAAAAAAATTAAAAAAATCTAATTTAGTCATAAATTTCAGCCAAAATGTATTCTGCTATCAGTCTTTGCTAAAAAAAAAATCCCAATACATGTAAATTAATTTGTTAAAGTGAAAGTTATAGCATTTACAAATGGCAGTATATATACTGGGCTTTTTTTTTTTTTTTTTTTACTACTGACGGTGATCAGCAGCTTATAGTGAGACTGCAGCGGGCATTCTGACACTGGGGGGGAACTGACTTGTTGTCAATGACATCCTCAGTGACACCAATACAGTAATCAGTGCTAATAAAAAGCGGGCACAAACCTTTGGGACCACTTTTGTGGGATTGCAGCCGCCCCCCACCCCTCCCCTCTTAAATGGGTTTGTTTAAAGTTGTAAAGGGTGGGTTTGTCACGTGTGGGGAAATTTGTTGTTGGCCCCTTTAAATTATGTTAAGTAGAATTCCTGGGATCCAATTGGGAGTCACGGAAGTTTCTGGAGCTTTGGCGGACAGAATATAAGGGGCACCTGGATCGTTTGGGATCAGTGGCCAGCCTGCAAGCAGAAGAGCTCCCCCTCCCCCCTTTTTGTCGCACGCACTTTGTGTGGTGCTATCACCCTGGAGTCTGGGGGGGGGGGTCATTTTCAGTGTTAGATGTTGTGATGAGTCGAGTTCCAATAACTGAGCCAGAAGAGGGTGATTTTGCATGTTGAATTTCTTCAACGGTTATTGTAGTGTGTACGTGGATTATTTGTGTAACACCAACAAACTGCCACAGCCATTTCTCACCACGGTCTGCCTAATGGTTGCTTTCCTTTAATTGGTCGTATGGGGGGGGGGGGGGGGGGGGTTGATGAAGTCTGCAATACCATGTCCTTTGAAGAGTCATATGGACATGCTCATATTCTGGGAGTAAATGAAACTTGATGCACACAGCATATATGGACTTTGACTCTTCTGTTCTGCATACTTATTAAAACTATTGAAGCTTGAGGTAAGCATCACAGCCAGGATTTAACATACTCAGAAAGGAACTATGATGGCCTCCATACTGCTCTCATGAAACTTGCACAAGGATCCCTCAAACAATGAGCAATTTCTACCTCTTAAAGCACAGGGCCAATCAGCACTGCCCAGACAGAGGGTCAGAGGTTTTGCATCCTCCTAGAGCAGAAAGAAAACTCCTCCTACAAGCTTTAACTGGTGCTCTGCTGAAGTCACAAGACTGCTCTATCTGCTGATGAGAAAAGGTATTTGGAAGTTTATATTTACTAAAAATAATTCCATTTCCATGTTGTGTGTACTGTGTGAGACCAGATATAGTGAATGCAGGGTCCTGGGTTTAGTAACACTTTAAGTAAGTAACCACTGAAACCAATGATAATGTAGTGTAATGGGGCCCGTCTCCCAATGATCATCTTTTGCCAACGAGCACCAGTGTAAGGGGGCTCTGATCACTAATATTCGTTTCATTTTTTTTTAACTGGAAACAAAATGTCACAGAGCAGCCCCAAGATATTAAATGCGCTACATAATACACATTCCTTTATTTTATTTATTAATTCCATTATTTTATTTATTTTTTTGTATTTCAATTTACTGTTCATGCCAATGCACCCTGAGCTGTAGATATAGTGATTATTAGCAGGGGTTCCCTGAGACCTGAAACTTTTTAGGGGTTCCTCCATCTTAAATAAAAAGATTGCGAAAAACTGACCTACTGTAGTTGGTGTGGAATATACTGTATAGAGAGTATCTTAGAAACCAAATAAGCACTTACCAGGCCCTCTTCCAGCATCCTGCAAGGAGTAGTATGACACCCAGCACTGACACTATAATCACAGGTAGGAGGATGGACATGATCATTGCTCCAGCTAGAGAAGAAACAGGTTATTGTAGTCATTATTGCCTGAAACAAGCTGATGGACCGCTAGAAAACTAGACACAGGCTAATGCTCAGTGCAGCTAAAGGTCATACACATTACATTTTTTGGAGAACAGCCCTCTCTGAGGCTGGACTGGCCCTGGGGATTTCGGTAAATGGTCTGCCTACTGCATGCACATGTATGCTATGTATGCTCAGTAGTTGTAATTGTACATCTGACCGCCATCTTATGTCTTTCTTTATATTATGTGTTATTGACCAGTGGGGGAGATTTACTACAACTGGTGCACTAAGAATCTGGTGCAGCTGTGCATGGTAGCCAATTCTCTTCTAACTTCAGCTTGTTCAATTATGCTTTGACAATAAAACTTTGAAGCTGATTGGTCTCCAGTTTTAGTAAAATAACCCCCACTATGTTTTAGGTCAGACAGAAGCATGCGAGTTACAAGTCAGCATTGTAAACACTTCTGGCGATTTTATGGTTTTGTTCCAAGCCCTGACATATTTACTGGACAACACCGTCAGTGTAGAGAATATAAATAACGCATGTGAAATAAAAAAGAAAATAATATACACAATATTATCATTACACACTCAGTGTAAACCATATGCAGGGGGGCGCATGCGCGGCCGGCTGTGGGATGGACGCGATCTGACAGGAGCTCCGTCCACCCGCTAGCTGTCAGTTCGGCTCACTCCGATCGCAAGGTCTCCAAACCGCTCTGTCGGGTCCCATCAGAGGGCAGACCCGAATTAGCATAATGCCGCGCCACAGAAAGGCTCCGGGACAGCCAGGTAAGCTTACTAACTTCTTCCCTGCTGTCACATCACACATCCAAGATGGCGCCGGCGGCTCCTTAAACGGCCACAGCACCTGTCAAAATCAATATGACAGATCCTATGAGGAAAACAACAAAGCCCAGCAGCTGGATCCGAGGATCAGAACTTCTCTTTATCCAGGGGACCCGGGTGAGTCATCTCCTCCTTTATCACCCACCACCAGCAGTCCAGCCAAATCCAGGCCCAGATTAGACACGGACCCCCTGACTGATACTCAGCCTTTCCTCACGCAGATATTACTTCACACTGCTACGCCATCTCTGATAGATTCCTTCCCTGCCACTAACCAACTGATCACCAAATAAGCATGAAGAATATGCTTCTATCTTTACGTTAAACTATACACAGCGACTTGACCTCATCAATTTCCCAAATCTCAAATGTGATACAGCAACAAGACCACTGACTGCGCCACATGGAAAATAAAATGGGAAAAATGGTCATAGCGCATAATGATCTGATCGCACACGCAGACCACAATGCGGAGCTTGAAAAAATAAACCTCAAATTAGCGGATTTAGAAGACTGATCCAGACGCAATATATTAAGTTCAGGGGTATACCTGAAAATATTACTAACGACGCATTGCTCCCCTACATCTATCAATACATGAAACATCTCATTCCGTCACTCTCGGATATAGAGCTAGCCATCGATCGTGCTCACAGGATACCCAAACCTTCGTTCCTCCCAGCTTCAATCCCCAGAGATGTTCTGGCACACATCCATTTTTACCACATAAAAGAAAAATTAATGGCAGCAGCAAGGAACCCACCCCCACTCCCGCCATCACACGCAAACATCAAGCTTTTTTCTGATTTGTCAAAAGCCACATTGCTCAATCGCAAAAAGCTGATTACTATAACTAAAGTGCTCAGGAACCACGGAATAGGCTACCAATGGGGCTTCCCTACAAAATTGACCGTTAAACATCACGGTGCAATCTTCACAATCAAAACCCAAGAAGTGGGCATAGACCTCCTGAAGACCTGGAATATAATACCTGCGGAACCACAACAATCCAGCTCAGCTATTACACAACAAATGGACGCTGAATGGTCTAAAACATACACAACAAATCTACACCACTATGCCTTGGGCATTATAATTTTACCACTTCAAGCTAGCGAACGGCCCTTTAGCGAGTATTCGCATGGTACAAAAGTTTTTTTGGTTTGACCTCGTTTACGGTCGATACCTGTTCACGCCCCCCAATTTTACAGTAGCAAGATCCGCTACTCTTATGACTTGCATTTTTAGCAAGTTTTTCTTACCCATCCGTACCTTCCTCCTTTCCCGCACCACCAGTCGACTGATCAACTCCATCGTTCAAATGAAAATCTTACCACAACAAGGAAAACAATACTCCAACGACCGATCCACAAACGCACCACCCAATGTACAGAAAGACATCATCAATGACCACGACCTTTCCACTTTTCTCAACAATTACGAAAACAACCTTCCTACTCAAGTAACTCACATACTAATCAACAAAATGATTAAGATATCCTCGCTTAATGTACATGGCCTCAATTCCCCCTTCAAAGATCGCTGCTCCAAAAAGAATCATGCTCACTCCACACTGATGTACTCCTCCTACAAGAAACCCATTTTGCATCAACCAAGATCCCCAAGTTTCATATCCATGGATACTCTCATGTATACATGGCAACAAACACAAAAAAAAAAAAAAATGGAGTCATTACAGCCATAATAGACTCTTTTCAATTCCTTCACGTCTCTGAAATAGCAGACCCTCAAGGTCGATATCACATCCTGATCTGCAAAATCAATAACATCCCCTATACATTGGTTAATGTATACGGTCCCAACAACAACCAAATTCAATTTTAGAACAAACTCCAATCAACCATCTCCTCTCAGAAGCAAGGTAGACTTATTATGGGCAGAGACTTTAACGTTATTGGTAACCAACTTCTGGACTCCTCCACCAACGGACGCCCCTCCAAGCACAATTTCAACCGCTTTTTACATGACGATGATCTCTACGATATCTGGCAATGCCAATATAGCACAGAAAAGGACTACACATACTACTCCATTTCTCATCTATCATACTGCAGAATTGACTTCTTCGTCACAGATAAATGGACTCTTCAACACGTAACATTTTCCAAAATTGGTAATATATCTTGGTAAGATCACGCTCCAATCAGCATAACCTTAGACAGCAATCAACATTCTCCAAGCCCTCGTCTCTGGAGACTGAACTCAGTGATATTAAACAACCCTGATGATGAGAAAACATTTACTAGAAGCGCACAACATATTTTTTGAATGCAATGATACATCTGATATTTTTATAACCACATTGTGGTCCGCTTACAAAGCATACATGAGAGGTATCCTCATACAATTAAACTCCCGCATCACTAAACAGCGAACACAACAAATTGACCAACTCCTGACTTCCATAAGTCAAAAAGAAGAAATTAACAAAAAAAATCAAAATCCCTCCACGTCCCTAGCCGCAGACAGAAATAAACTCCGAGCCCTTCTACTCTATAAATATGACCTTAATCTATTAAAAACTAAATCAAAATTCTACTCCTTAGGCAATAAAGCTAACTCCTTTTTTAAACAAAATTAACCACTTGCCTACCAGGCACTTATACCCCCTTATTTACCAGGCCAATTTTCAGCTTTCAGCGCTGCCGCACTTTGATTGACAATTGCGCGGTCATGCAACATTGTACCCATATGAAATTTTGATCATTTTTTTTCTCACAAATAGAGCTTTCTTTTGGTGGTATTTAATCGCCACTGGCCACTTTACTTTTTGCGCTATAAATAAAAAATTGCAAAAAATTTGAAAAAAAAAAAAAGTTTCTTTGTTTCTATTATAAAATTTTTCAAACAGGTATTTTTTCTCCTTCACTGATGTGCGTTGATGAGGCAGCACTGATGGGCACTGATAGGCGGCACTGATGGGCACTGATAGGCAGCACTGATGGGCACTGATAGGCAGCACTATAGGGCACTGATAGGCAGTACTAATGAGGTGGCACGGATAGGCGGCACTAATATGCAGCACTGATAGGCGGCACTGATAGGTGACACTGATGATGGGTACTGATAGACGGCACTGACTGGCATCACTGCTGGGCACTGACTGGCACAACCCCTGGGCACTGACTGGCAGCACTGCTGGGCTGCACAGGTGGGTGGCACTGCTGGGCTGCACAGGTGGGTGGCACTGCTGGGCACAAGTAGGTGGCACTTCTGGGCACAGGTAGGTGGCACTGCAGAGTGGCACAGGTGGGTGCACTGCTGGGCACAGGTGGGTGATCTGCTGGGCACAGGTGGGCGGAGCTAGTGGGCGCACTGCTGGGCACAGGTGGGCGGAAGTTGCGGGTGGCACTGCTGGGCACCATCAGGGCACTGATCATCAGTGCCCTGATGATCGGTGCCGATCCCCGCTCTGACAACTGACGGTTCTCGGCAGTACTTTCCTCACGATCTGACAGCGTGAGGAAAGTGCAGCCGAGAACCGGCACTTGCATTTCCCTCTGATCAGCGTGTCATTTTACCACATCACATGATCAGCTGTGTCCGTAGGACACAGCGATCACGGAGATCGCCGGGTGCGCGCCCCCTGGGGCGCGCAGGAGAGCGCGTTCTGGGAGGACGTCATATGACGTCCTCTCAGAACTGGCTGGCCGCAGTTTAGCCGTCATTCGGCTATATGCGGTCGGCAGCTAGTTAATCAAACAATGACACCTTAAATCTAAAATCTCCTCAATTCAACACCCAACTACCCATACATCTCTTAGCTAATGCTTTCGCATCATACTACCAAAAATTTTACAATCTCAAATCAGACCCAAACACAACACAACCAACGATCGCTTCCATACAAAAATTTCTAAGCTCTGCGAAACTCCCCCAACTTACTCCATCACAACTCGCATCTATATCCACCTATATCTCCTTCGGAGATAGAAAAGGTCATCAAAACTTTACCCCATAATAAATCCCCAGGAAATGATGGTTTCACCAACGAATTGTACAACATTTTTGCACCTGACCTTTCACCATACCTGACCAAGCTATTTAATCACGCCTCCTCTATAGGAGAATTCCCCAAAGAAATGCTACAATCACAATCCCTAAACTTGGTAAAGACCTTAATATGGTTCAAAACTATAGACCTATTTCACTACTTAACACGGATATAAAACTCTATGCTAAAATAATAGCCCAAAGACTCCTTCAATACCTCCCCATTCTAATACATCCTGACCAAGTAGGATTTATCCCTGGACGCCAAGCCCTTATATCTCTTATCCACAACTTAGAAACCACCAAACAGCCCTCCCTATTATTATCCCTAGATGCAGAAAAAGCATTTGACCGCATACATTGGCACTTTATGCAACAAACACTACAAAAATGCAGGATCACAGGATGGATGCTATCAGCTATTTTCTCACTATACTCCAACCCATCAGCCAGAGTTCTAACGGATGGCACACTCTCAGACTTATTCAACATCTCAAACGGCACTAGACAGGGATGTCCCCTATCCCCCATAATATTTACTCTACTCATTGAACCGTTAGCCTCAATACTTAGAGATGACGCCGCATTTACAGGAATCACCCATATGAAAATAGAACATAAAATTAGCTTATTCGCGGATGACATTATACTAATGATAACTAACCCACACAAATCACTACAGATAATCCGCTCACATCTTCAACACTATTCGGAAGTATCCTACTATAAACTGAATGAAACCAAATCATCCATCTTAAACCTCCATACACTGATCCAGACTTAAACAATGCTTGCCAAACGATTCCCCTTCTTTTGGGAACAACAAAACATCCCTTATCTAGGAATCAAACTCACTGCTACGACAGACCAATTATATCCCACAAACCACAAATCTCTACTTGATAACATACCAAAGGAACTCACTAACCTCCGCACAGCAAACACTATCTAAAATGGAATGAGTAGCAACCCTAAAAATGTATATACTACCCAAAATCCTCTACATATTCCGCACACTCCCCATCCCCATTCCCAATACTTTGTTCACTAAACTACAAGCAACCTTTTCCAAATTTCTCTGGAACTCCAAGAAACCTAGATGCACCACAAATCTGTTAATACGCCCTACATCCAGAAGAGGAGCAGGTCTACTACCACATCTAAAGCTGTATTATACTGCCTCTCTTCTCGACCAACTTTATTTTTGGTGGCATCCAACTAAAGAAAAATCATGGTCCTTCATGGAAACACTTTCTCTTTTCCCTTTCACCCCACGTAATATACTTCTCCTTCCACAAATACCTCCACCCAAACCCCTACTTAAACACCCATGTATCAAGGCCTCCCTTCAAGCCTGGTATGATATCCAATCGTCTAACTCTCTAGACACCAAACTAATACCTACCCCACTCAATACGTTACTCCTCACTACACCCTCCCCCTAAACCTCCAACAGTGGGACAATTGTGGTATAACTGATATACAAGACCTATACACAGACCATAAACTAGATACATTTTCGATTCTTCAAAAGAAATTTAACCTTCCCAACACTGAATACTTCACCTACTTGAAAATAACCCACTCTCTACAAGCAGTAAAAATCCCGCTTCTCTCAAAAAGCCCCACTATTGCATACAATGTTTTCAACAAACTAAAATACCCAAAAAAGGGCATTTCAACTTTTTACACGCACACAATAAATACACACTTTACTCTTCAAACTACTTCTTTAACCAATTGGGAAAAAACCTTTAAAATTACATACAAAGCATCTAAATGTAGTTCACATTGGGAATCTTATATGAACATTTTACACCAATGGTACTTAACACCCACCAAACTCTCGCTATACTACCCACAGCATTCCTACGCTTGTTGGAGACTGTGGTGAACCAGGCTCCACGTTTCACATAATATGGATGTGTAAATCACTCAGATCCTATTGGAATAAGATCTTTCAATTGATCTCAACACTTACGGGAACTTCAGTAGCTCCAAACCCTGCCTTAGCCCTTCTCCACATTGGAATAGTTGATTTCCCAAAAAGACTCTCGTACCGTCATTATTTACACTTTGACAGCTGCCAAAATTAATATTACCAAACTATGGAACACCACTAAAACTCCCTCTATCAACTCACTATTAACAGACCTCAATTTCCAATGTGATATGGAAAGAAGATCAGCCCTGAACAACTCCACATGTCACTCATTCAAATTTCAATGGTCCCGTTGGTTACAAAATCCAAACTGCTCTGCTCTGTAAAATCCTGATAAGTCAATTTTTGTTCAACATTTAGACCCCTACCTTTAGACTGGTGCACTTTCCCCTTCCTCCTCCCCATCACTACTTACACTCCCTTCCTTCACCCCCCCCCCCCCCCCCACATTGTAACCTGCTCACCTCAACACGGTTTAGATCCAACATAACATACCTCTCATGACTATGCATCATACTTATATACAATCCCCAGCCAATTGGTGGGGATTTTACAACAAAATAAGTATTGTTATACCTACTATGAACCGTATTAAATTACTCTAGCATGTCAAAACCCTTTAATAAAAATGATTGAACATAAACCATATGCAATTATCAGTATTTTGTCTGATGGTGGTTCTGTAACTCTAACTATGACTTGGACATACTCACCGTCAGATTGTGTGTGTAAGCTTTAATAAAGTCCTTTTCAGTTTCACCTCCACCTGTAACGGCCACAACTGCCACTTGATATTCTGTGTTTGGTTTTAGATGGTGGATGGTGGCATTCATTATTTTTGGGTCGTTGATAAAAAATCTGCAGACTTCTAGACCATCTGTAAAATGTATTGAGATATTAGATTGTAAATTCAACATGTTTTCGCCCTCAATCCTATTCATGCTGTTATTATATATACTGTGTTTATGTATATGTGTGTATATATATATATATATATATATGTGTGTGTGTGTGTGTGTGTGTGTGTGTGTGTGTGTGTATATATATATATATTAATATTGCACACTTCTCAAAAATATCAAAGGAACACTTTTTAATCAGAATAGGTCATCATTCAATTGAACTCCTGGGATACTGATCTGGTCAGTTAAGTAGCAGAGGGGGGTTGTTGATCAGTTTCAGCTTTTTTGATGTTAATGAAATTAACAACAGATGCACTAGATGGGACAACCCCCAAAGCAGGAATGGCTTTACAGGTGGAGGCCACTGACATTTTTTTCCCTACTCATATTTTCAAGCTATTTTTCACTAGCTTTGCATTTGGCTAGAGTCAGTGTCACAGGCAGTTCAGCTCCTCTAGGATGGCACATCAATATGTGTCATTGCCAGAAGGTTTGCTGTGTCTCCCAGCACAGTCTCAAGAGCATGGAGGAGATTCTAGGAGACAGGCAGCTACTCTAGGAGAGCTGGACAGGGATGTAGAAGGTCCTTAGCCCATCAGCAGGACCGGTATCTGCTCCTTTGTGGAAGGAGGAACAAGATGAGCACTGCCAGAGCCCTACAAAATTACCTCCAGAAGGCCACTGGTGTGAATGTCTCTGACCAAACAATCAGAAACACACTTCATGAGGGTGACCTGAGGGTCCCACATTCTCTAGTGAGCCCTGTGCTCACTGCCTGGAACCATAGCGCTTGATTGGTATTTGCCATTGAACACCAGAATTGGCAGGTCCACCACTGGCACCCTGTGCTTTTCACAGATGAGAGCAGGTTCACCGTGAGCATATGTGACAGATGTGAAAGGGTCTGGAGAAGCCGTGGAGACCGTTATGCTGCCTGTAACATTGTTCAGCATGACCGTATTAGTGGTGGGTCAGTGATGGTCTGAGGAAGCATATCCTTGGAGAGACGCACAGACCTCTACAGGCTGGACAATGAAATCCTTGGACCCATTGTCAGACCCTACGCTGGTGCAGTGGGTCCTAGGTTCCTCCTGGTGCACGACAATGCCTGGCCTCATGTGGCGAGAGTATGCAGGCAGTTTCTGGTGATGAAGGAATTCATACTATTGAATGGCCCCCACACTCACCTGACCTAAATCCAATAGAACACCTCTGGGATATCATGTTTTGGTCCATCTGACACCACCAGGTTGCACCTCAGACTGTCCAGGAGCTCAGTGATGTCCTGGGCCAGATGTGGGAGGAAATACCCCAGGACACCATCCATTGTTTCATTAGGTGCATGCCCCGACGTTGTCAGGCATGCAAACAAGCACGTGGGGGCCATACAAACTACGGAGTACAACTTTGAGTTGCTGCAATAAAATTTCAGCAAAATGGACTAGCCTGCTGCATAATTTTTTCACTTTGATTTTCGGGGTGTCTTTGAATTCAGTCCTCTGTAGCTTGATAATTTTCATTTCCATGAAATGATGGGTTATCCTTACGTTCCTAACACAATACCCAGTCCATATTGGTATAGATATCCAGCATGATATTTTTCCTTATTGAGATTTGATGTGTTTTCAAAGTGTTCCTTTATTTTTTTTTTGAGCCGTGTATATATATTTATTTATTGTTAATTTTTTTTTTACATTTACAAAATGAAAAGTGAGCAAACAGAAAAATAAACCCTAAATGAAGTCAATATTTGGTGTCACTACCTTTTGGCTTCAAACCAGCATCAATTCAAATCATCAAGCATTTTTAAAGAAGCACAAAGCAACAGGCAATGTCGAGGACTGTAGACACAGCGATCAACCATGGAAGTTTAATGCAGCAGATGAAAGACACATCATGCTTCCCTTCGACATCAGAAGATGTCCAGCAGTGCCATCAGCACAGAACTGACGGTAACCAGTGGGACCCAGGTACACCCACCCATCCACTGTATGGAGAAGTCTGGCCAAAAGTGGTCTTCAGGTAGAATTGCGGCCAAAAAGCTATAACACCAATATGGAAACAAGGCTAAGTGACTACATGAAAATAGGAACTGGGGTGCATAAAAATGGCAGCAGGTGCTCTGGACTGATAATTCAAAATCTGAACTATTTGGCTGTAGCAGGAGGAAGTTTGTTCACCGAAAGGCTGGGGAACGATACAATAATGAGGGACTACAGGCAACAGTGAAGCATGGTGGAGGTTCCTTGCAAGTCTGGGGCTGCATTTCTGCAAATGGAATTGGAGATTTGGTCAAGAACAATGGTGTCCTCAATGCTGAGAAATACAGGCAGATTCTTATCCATCATGTCATACCATCAGGGAGAGTGGATTTATTCTTCAGCAGGAAATGACCCCAAACATGAAGTGAATGTCACTAAGAACTATCTTCAGCGTAAAAAAGAACAAGGAGTCCTGGAAGTGATCATTTGGCCCCCCCAGAGTCCCGATCTCAACACCATGGTGTCTGGGATTATATGAAGAGACAGAAGGATCTGAGGAAGCCTACAGCCACAGAAGATCTGTGGTTGGCTCTCCAAGATGTTTGGAACAACCTACCTTCCGAGTTCCTTAAAAAGCTGTGTGCATGTGTACCTAAAATAACTGATTCTGTTTTGAAAGCAAAGGGTGGTCACGCCAAATATTGACTTGATTTGCATTTCTCTTCTGTTCATTTACTCTCCACTTTAATTGATAAAAATAAACTATTAACTCTTCTATTTCTGAAAGCATTCTTAATTTACAGCATTTTTTCACAACTGCCTATAATTTTTGCACAGTACTGTACATCAACATGTAAGTTGTAAAACTACCGCATTTGCAGGTTGGGAAATATATTCTCTTGGACTTAACTCAGGTTTGAGAAACCAATGTTTGATTGACCCAACACTTCCTACTGAGAAATCAATAAATCAAATGTTGATGTATATACTCTTTAAACTGAAAGTCTAGTTTTGGTAAGAAATAAGAAACCCCCCCCCCCCCCCCCCCCCCCCATTCATACTTTTTAGCAAACATTACCGCAAGACACTTGCGGTCTTTGGTAGCCAAACATTAAAACTTGTTTTGGATTTTATACAATACATAAAATAGAATTTGGGCAAATAGGCAAATTACCTAAAATTATGTGGCCATTAGGTGCATCCAGATCACAGTTACTTCCTAAAGTTTTCACATAGATGGTGTAGCCCAATTACAAATCCTTCCTGAGTCTCATCGATTGAATATGGAGACCAGTCCAGAGACAGAGAATTGGCATCAATCTTCGTAGTTTCCACTTTTGGCTTCCTTGACGACACTATAATAAAATATATTACATGGGAGGGGCTATTATTTCAGAATTGACCTGCAAGTGCCACCTCCTGATGAAAGCAGGTATGACAGTATGAACACATATGAAAACACTATAACAAAATTGCTGGACTTTAGTCTATCAAGTTCTGTAACTTACAGCAGAGATGATGCTATGGCTTATGTTGTGGGCTAATGAAATGAGTCATTAAAACTCCCACAGCAGCAGCACTAAAAATATTTATGGCATAATTGCTGTTCCCCCTTCTGCGTCGCAGGTGTCCCTCCTGTGTCTGCAGTGGTTCACCTTTTTTGGCTTTTGAGTTTTTTATTTTTTCAGCAGCAAAATAAAAAGTTATAAAAATCCCTGAAAAAAATCCTCATCATGTCCGTAAGGCTAACAAGGGGAGGCAGACGCTCACAGGCAGCTAAAAGAGGGAAAGAAGCCCCTATGTCCACAGCGAAAAGTGGTGGTCTTGGACATGGTGTATCTTCTGCAGGCAGGGCATGCTTGTCGTTTTTTTTCCCGGGTCTGGCCGTGAACACAACATGCAGAAAAGGTGGTGGAATGGATAACTAAGCTATTCTCATCCTCTGTCACCCTGGCGCATACTAGTTTGCCTTCCACCGCAACTTCCAAAGTGGCCTATTCCACAGGCTCCTTGTCCACAGCTACTCCTTTCATAGCCCCACTATCATGCACAGAGGAGTCATTTATTATTTGATCATAGTGTCAGTTACATGCTGCTGGAGGATGCATAGCAATTTGAATGCTCCAATGTTGGTCAAGGAAGGGAGTGACATGAGCCTAGAGAGAGGGGGTGTCAATGAGGGACAAGAAACTGGCAGTCATGTTCCCCCCAGCCACAGCACACTGCCAAGTTGGTTCCAGTGACAAGAAGGGAGGGAATGATGAGGTCGCTGACTGTACTTGGGTGCCTGATAGAACAGAGGAAGAAAGTGAGGAGGAGGCGTCACCCTATTGCATCACACAACAGAGCTCCACAGGTGAAGGGCACTGCTGACTCCCCGCTGACTTCCAAAACTTCATCAATGTGGGCTTTTTTCAATGCATGTGCAGCAAACCACAGCATTGCTGTTTGCAGTCTCTGGAGTGGATCAAGGGTGGTCAAAACACGAGAAGCTTGGACACCACATGCCTGACAAGACATATGACAACCTGCCATGTAGCCCATTGGCAACAGCACCTGAAAGACCCACATCATAAAAAAGTGCAGACTTCTTGCTCCTCATCTGGGATCTCTACCCCTACTATACCTCAATTCTTCTCAACAGCCTCCACTGAGAGGGATGATGGTATAGCAATGGATGCCACAGGTCTTTGCACCTATTCTGCTAGCAGTACACAACCTGTTGATTTCACCAGGCAAATTTTGCTACCTCAGTTGCTGAACCATAAAAAAAATACTGTCCACCCATCCACATGCTCAGCATCAAAATGCTAGCTTGGCCAAATTGCTAGCATTATATTATCTTGTGGACTCTACCCCTTTTATGAATTAGCAGAATGTGCTGTACCAATGGCGGACTGACAACTCATGGGGCCCCTGGGCAATAGGGAATCATGGGGGCCCTGTGTCCTTGTCCACACTCAAACCACACCCAAAAAAGCCTATGAAAGGTACCAGGGACATCTCATGGGGCTCCTAACTGACCACGGGCCCTCGGGCAGTGCCCGAGTTCTCCAATGGTCAGTCCGCCCCTGTGCTGTACCACAGTGGCAGGTTCCAAAAAGCATTTTCTTTTCACATAAGGCCATTCCAGCTTTGTACCATCATGTGGAATGCATTGTTTTGGCCTCGTTGGGTAGGGTAGTCAGTGGCAAGGTCCACATTACTGCTGACACATGGTCCAGCAGACATGGTCAGGGTTTTCCATATCCTTTATGGTGCACTGGGCAACTCTGCTGGCAGCTGGGAAGGATGCAGGACAGGGTTCAGTGCTGGAGCTTGTTTTGCCACCATACCCCCTAAAAGCTGGTGGTGATTCTGTCACATCTGTCTGCTTCACCCCCTCCTCTTCCGCTTCCAGTGCCTGCCCCTGATCCGTAAGCGTTCAAGGAGCTACACAAGCAGTCAGGCTAAAAGATGCCATTCAGTGCTTGAGCTGGTCTATGTAGGGAACAGGAGCCACACCGGGGCAGAGATTCTGTCATCTCTGTAGGGGCAGGCTCAGAAGTGGTTGACGCCATGGCAGCTTGAGCCAGGAATGGTTATATGCAACAATGGCACCAATCTCTCCGCCCTCACTTGACACATGTTCCATGCTTAGCACACGTCCTGAATTTGGTGGTGCAGCATTTCTTGAACAGGTACCCAGGCTTACAAGATCTTCTGAGGCAGGCCAGAAAAGTCCGTGGCCATTTAATACACGGCCAGTGTTCGGCTGCTGACACTGAATGGGAATTCAACCTGCCCAGCAATCGCCTCATTTGTGACATGCCCACCAGGTGGAACTCAACAATGGCAATGCTGCAGTGGCTGCACACGCAGCAAAGGGCCATCAATGAGTACCTGTGTGAGTATGGCAGGACAGGCTCAGGGGAGCATGACTTCTTTTCGCCATGCCAGTAGCTGCTGATAAAGGATGCATGCATTGTCCTGTCACCATTTGAAGAGGCCACAAGGATGGTGGGCTGCGACAATGCATGCATCAGTGACACTATCCTTCCTGCTGGAGCACACACTGCTGGAGCATACACGTGGAATCATGGACAGGTCCCTTGAGGCAGAACAGTGGGAGGAAGAAGAGGACTTCCTTTCCTCTCAAGGCACACTTTATGCAGATACCATTCCTCCGGGGCTGCAGAACACACAGGAGGAGGAGAATTGTAGCAGCATAGAAGTAGAGGATAACATACGGAAGTCTTTAAGGGATGGTTTTCAGTCCCGAAAAACTCAGCTAGGAGTAGTACTTGGCTTGGAGGAGGTAGTTCCTGACAGTATCATCCTCGGTGACCCAGAGGACTCAGAATCTCATGCCTCCTCAAAGTTACGCTGCATGGACTCCTGGCTTCGTGGTATCAAGGAGAGGAATAACTACTGGTTGGCAACTCTTCTTGATTGCAAAGTTGCAGCGTTCATCCTGCCTTTAAAGAGGGAGAAGAGGATGAAACTTCTTCAGGACACCTTGAAGAAAAATTTGTGTAACACCATTCCAGACACTGGGAGGTTACCATTTCCTGGACAATGTGTTTCTGAGGCTTCGTTCAGTCAAAGGAAGAGCAGTGGAGAGGGCGGCCGGCTGAACGATGCCTTTAAACAACTCTTTAGTCCTCAGTGCCCAGGGCTGGTAGTTTAAGCACCCATCGGCAGTGTCTGCATTATATGGTGCAGGATTATCTAGGGGCAAGAGCAGACTTGGAGACCTTTCCAACTGAGGATCCACTGGGTTACTGGGTCTTGAGGATGGATCACTGGCCAGTACTTGCTCAATGTGCAATCAAGCTACTGGCCTGTTCTGCATTCAGCATGCTTTCCGAACGGACATTCAGTGCTGCTGGATGTTTTGTCTGCGTCTGTTCACAGACTCTGTTGATGATGACATTTATCAAAATAAATCAGTCCTGGATCAACAGCAGCTATCAAGCCCCTGATGCTGATGTAACTGATTACATTTGTTAAGGATCTGGGATCCCTTGAAGACTGCCTATGCTGCCTATCCTATTCCTGAATCCTGATTATGCTAGCTTCCAACAATGTTTTTGGATTAGGGCACCACCAACACCCAAGGGCCAATCTTTCTGCACCTCTTTGACAAAGTGCATCAAATTTAAATTTTTTACAATTTTTTTCCTAATTTTTAACAGCAGGGCCCATTCCTGTGCCCAGCAAGTGTAACTGTGAGGGGATACAGTGTTCAGGCAGCACCAACACCCAAGGCCCAATATTTTCGCACCTGTGTGACAGGTGCATATCATTTCAGTTTTTTAGAGCAGTGCCAATTCCTGCACTCATCAAGAGTAACTGTAAGGGGTTACAGTGCAGAGGCACCAACATCCAAGGCCCATTTTTTTCAACACACTGTGTGACAGGTGCATATAATTTAAATTTTTAGAGCAAGGTCAAATCCTGCACTCATCAAGAATAAGTCTGAATTGTTAGGGTATGAAGCCACCACCAACTGTTTGCCTGACAAACACCCCACAATGCACTGTGCTCTCACAGTGCACAGTTGTTTAAACGGTGACAAGGGCCTCTTACCCACAATCCTTGCCTGGTGGTTGTGAGGGTCTGCAGGCAGGGGGGGGGGTCATTAGCATCAGGGTACCCCTTTGACCACTTGCCCTTCTGAGGATTTACCCCCCTTCCTGACCAGGCCATTTTTTGCGTTACGGCACTGCGTTACTTTAACTGACAATTGCGTGTTCATGCAACTCTGCACCTAAATGAAATTTATGTCTTTTTTTTCCCCACGAATTGAGCTTTCCTTAGTTGGATTTGATTGCCTGTGCGGTTTTTATTTTTTGCACTATAAAAAAAAAGACCACCAATTTTGAGAAAAAAAGAATTTTTTTTTTACTTTTTTGGTATTAAACATGTCCAGTAAAAAAATTTAAAGTCAAATTTTGTCAAAAATGTACGCCAAAATGTATTTTGCTACATGTCTTTGCTAAAAAAAAAAAAAATCCTAATCCGCGTTAATTAATTGGTTTATGTGAAAGTTATAGCATTTACAAATGGCGGTATAGATACTGGAAATTTTTTGTTTACTAATAATGGCGGCAATCAGCGACTTATAGCGGGACTGCGGCGGGCATTCTGACACTGGGGGGAACTGACTTGGTGTCACTGACATCCCCAGTGACACCACTACAGTGATCAGTGCTAAAAAAAATCACTGACACTGTATTAATGGCACTGGGCACTAAGGGGTTAACATGGGGGCTGATCAAAGGGTTAATTGTGTGCAGGGAGTGTTTTTTACATAGGGGGCAGTGTGTGTGGGCTTCACTGTAAGCATACTGCTCTGGATGGCTGTGCTGTGCACAGCCATCTAGAGCAGTGTGCCCGAGCTGACAGGGAGGAGGACTGTTAGTAAACAAAGCAGTCCTCTTCCCCGTTTAAGATGCTCGGTAATCACTGGGTGCTGGTGGGTAAGCACGGCAAGAGATACATTAAAAGAAGGGGCTTAGAAAAGGGTGGAATTGGCAGTTTTGGCCCAAATTGCTCCTCCCTTTCTTATCTCAAGCCATTAAAATATATATATAAAATAAGCATCTTAACCAACAACTGATCATCAACTATAAATACCATGAGTACAGAGGCAGTTAATGCACGTAGTTTAAATGGCAAACATTGCTGCCATATGAAAGCAAGATACTTTGGTAAAAATAGCATTTAGCTCAAAAGCAATTAGATAAATACTACACACTGGAAACTGGACAATTACTGGATCTGTTGACATTACCGATAAAAGATCTTACAGATAATCAACTTAAATAAAATATCTTCTTACCCAAAACCGCCATCATAAAAGTAATGCATTGCCCACTTGCACCTGCATGTACCTGCACAAAAGCTTCTTAAGTATCCCATGGGGAACTGAAGTGTGGGATAGTCTCATATGAAAGTATTAACCATTACTGAGAAAGCTACCCCCTTCAACCTCTTGAAAATCCCAACTGGGTCTTCGAGGAACCATTTGGAAATAATGGGGTGGCACTTGCCCTTAATCTGTCTGCAAAAGAGTTTCAGGCCTCCTGGAACGTTCAAGAAGCTGTATAATGTTTTGTGCAGGCACTTGCTGGTAGAAGGATCTGTGTTCACCCATCAACTGTGGCTCTTAAAGTTCTTCCTCGCTGTATATTTATTTGTTTACGTTATATGTAATAAAAAGAGAGTTTAGAGACTTTGTAGTGAAAGACTCTAGAAGTGGAAACTCAATGCGGAAGCCCTGAAGAGGTATAGGAGGTCAATATACACTGCTCAAAAAAGTAAAGGAACACTTAAGGCGGCCATAAATTTCCAATTTTCTTGCCGAATTATCGTCCAATAAAAAAAAATCGGCCGATATTCGTACTGTTAGTTAGTGAAAAATGTTGGCTGTTTTTCTTAATTTTAAGAGATTTTGAAAATCGTCCAAGGTGGAAAATCCTGGTACGATTTGTTAGATCGGCCGATTTTCGCGGTAATTTATGGTCAAATCGGCCATTCTTCTGGCCGATTTGACAATAAATTGACTATGAAGAAAAAGAAGAAATAGATTTGGCAGGAGAAGAAGAAATAGAATATCAAGAAGAAGAATAGAAGAAAAGAGAGAAGATGAAATAGAATATCAAGAAGAATAGAAGAAAAGAGGAGAAGATGAAATAGATTTTGCAGAAGAAGACGGAGAAGAAAAAAAGTTGCAACATTGTATCTATTTGTATGCATTTCAGATACAGATGTTTCTATTCAAGTACAAATAGATACAATGTTGTTTCTCTTCTTCTTCTGCATAATCTATTTCTTCTGTCAAATATAATAGTGGGTCTCTATGCAGGGACACCGCTATTATATTAATTGACGGCCGTAGACTGGACTAAAACCCGCCGACTTTTTTTTTTAATTAGTGGCAACGTCGGCCGTCTGAACGACCGATTTACGACTTTTAAGAGAAAAAAAAAAAACGTCCGATTGTCCCCACGTCTATAGCCTGCTTTAGAAAACACATCAGATCTCAATGATCTGATACTGATATGGATTGGGTAATGTATTAGCAATGTAAGGATGGCCCATCGTTTGATGGAAATTAAAATTATCAACCTACAGAGGACTGAATTCAAAGACATCCCAAAAATCAAAGTAAAAAAATAATACAGCAGGCTAGTCCATTTTGCTGAAATTTCATTGCAGCAACTCAAAATGGTACTCAGTAGTTTGTATGGCCCCCACGTGCTTGTATGCATGCCTGACAACGTCAGGGCATGCTCCTAGTGAGACGATGGGTGGTGTCCTGGGCTATTTCCTCCCAGATCCGGACTAGGACATCACTGAGCTCTTGGAAAGTCTGAGATGCAACCTGGCAGCGTCGGATGAGCTGAATCATGAAATCCCAGAGGTGTTCTATTGGAGTTAAGTCAAGCGAGCGTGGGGGCCATTCAATGGTATCAATTCCTTCATCCTCCAGGAACTGCCTGCATACTCTCATTACATGAGGCCAGGCATTGTTGTGCACCAGGAGGAACCCAGGACCCACTGCACCAGTGAAGGAACTGACAATGGGTCGAAGGATTTCATCCAGATACCTAATGGCAGTCAGGGTGCCATTGTCTAGCCTAGAGGTCTGTGCGTCCCTCCAAGGATATGCCTCCCCAGACCATCACTGATCCACCACCAAAACGGTCATGCTGAATGATGTTACAGGCAGCACAACATTCTCCACGGCTTCTCCAGTCCCTTTCACATCTGTCACATGTGCTCAGGGTGAACTTGCTCTCATCTGTGAAAAGCACAGGATGCCAATGGAGGACCTGCTAATTCTTGTGTTCAATGGCAAGTGCCAATTGAGCACTATGGTGCTGGGCAGGGAGCACAGGGCCCACTAGAGGACGTGGGGCCCTCAGGCCACCCTCATGAAGTCTGTTTCTGATTGTTTGGTCAGAAACATTCACACCAGTGGCCTGCAGGAGGTCATTTTGTAGGGCTCTGGCAGGGCTCATCCTGTTCCTCCTTGCACAAAGGAGCAGATACCGGTCGTGCTGATGGGTTAAGGACCTTCTATGGCCCTGTCCAGCTCTCCTAGAGTAACTGCCTGTCTCTTGGAATCTCCTCCATGCTCTTGAGACTGTGCTGGTAGACACACAACAAACCTTCTAGCAATGGCACGTATTTACGTGCCATGCTGGAGGATTTAGATTGCCTGTGCAACCTCTGTAGGGTCCGGGTATCGCCTCATGCTACCAGTAGTGACAATGACCCTAACCAAGTGCAAAACTAATGAAAAACAGTCAGAAAAGATGAGTAGGGAAAAAAATGTCAGTGACCTCCACTTGTAAAACCATTCCTGTTTTGGGGGTCGTCTTATAGTTGCCCATCTAGTGCACCTGTTGTTAATTTCATTAATGGCAAAGCAGCAGAAACTGATTAACAACCCCCTCTGCTACTTAACTGACCAGATCAATATCTCAGGAGTTTCATTGACTTCATGCTATACTCTGATTAAAAAGTGTTCCTTTAATTTTTTTGAGCAATGTATTTTAGGAGGAAATACCTAATAAATTAAGAAAAATCACAGTGGGCAGTGACCCATAGTAACCAATCAGACATCAGTAATTTCTTCACAACTCAAACTAATAAAAAAGGAATCTGCTAGACTACCATTTTACTGCACCACTCTTTGTTGTGTCTCATACATTACGCCCAATATTCTTTTACTTACCTAATTCCTCAGTATACCCAGTCAGCTTCCCCAGTAAGTGCTCCCCATCTTCTTTAGTTCCATAAATCTGAAAATCATATCTAACACCACGCTGAAATGAGACTGAGAAAAGAACAGAGAGTTATAAACCTTTATGACTTTGTCAGCCACACTCTGAATATCAAGATTCGGTTAACCCTAATGACTGGCATTCATTTTTTAAGAATAGGGATTTAAAGCTCAGTTGAAGACTATATCTGTGACTGGTTTTTGCTAGATAATGCCCTAAAACACCTTTTTAATGAAAATGCTTTTTTCAGTGCTCTGTGCTGGCAGAGCTGAGTAATAGCCACACCCCTCAGTACAAGAGTCCTCGAAGAAATATGTATCACAGGGAAGGGAAAGGAAGGTGTCTGACCAGCTCTGTTACTTTCTATCGATCTATCCATTCAGTCGTATCTGACCCTTGGCGATTGCATGGACCGTCACTTGTAAATGACTTTTTCCATGAATTTTCTTAGCAATTATTTTTACAGGGTAGGTTGCCAGTAGAGATGAGCGAATTATTCAAAAATTCGATTCGGCTGATTCGCCGAATTTGCGGAATAAATTTGATTCGATGCGAATTTATTCGCTGCGAATTTAACTTATTAAAAGGGTTTCTAGGCTTCAGAGAGCCTTTATATTAGTGCAGAACACTGTACCTTTAATTTAAATGCCCTTGGAGTCTGCTGGGGAAGAGAAATAATACTGTCAGTCAGTATGACATGCAGATGAGTGCCGTCGATCTTAGAATCACCGCACACTTCACTCATTTGGGCAGTCACGGGGCACGACGAAGAAGAAGTAGAAGAAGATGAAGAAGATGAAGAAGAAGAAGATGAAGAAGATGATGAAGAAGAAGATGATGGAGGAGAAGAAGAAGAAGAAGAAGGATAAGAAGAAGATGATGAAGAAGAAGAAGGATAAGAAGAAGAAGAAGATGAGGATGAAGAAGAAGAAGGATAAGAAGAAGAAGAAGAAGAGGAGAAGAAGAAGAAGAAGATGAGGATGAAGAAGAGGATGAAGAAGAAGATGAGGATGAGGATGAAGAAGAAGATGAGGATGAAGAAGAAGAAGAAGAAGGATAAGAAGAAGATAAGGAAGATGAGGATGAAGAAGAAGAAGAAGAAGAAAAAGAAGGATAAGAAGAAGAAGAAGAGGAGGAAGATGAGGATGAAGAAGAAGAAGAAGGAGAAGAAGAAGGATAAGAAGAAGCAGAAGAAGAGGGATAAGAAGAAGAAGAAGATGAGGATGAAGAAGAAGATGAGGATGAAGAAGAAGAAGATGAGGATGAGGATAAAGAAGAAGAAGAAGAAGAAGAAGGATAAGAAGTATGACATGCAGATGAGTGCCGTCGATCTTAGAATCACCGCACACTTCACTCATTTGGGCAGTCACGGGGCACGACGAAGAAGAAGAAGAAGAAGAAGAAGATGATGATGAAGAAGAAGATGATGATGAAGAAGAAGATGAAGAAGAAGATGAAGAAGAAGATGATGAAGAAGAAGATGAAGAAGAAGAAGAAGAAGAAGAGGATGAAGAAGAAGAAGAAGAGGATGAAGAAGAAGAAGAAGAAGAGAAGAAGAAGAAGAAGAAGAGATGAAGAAGAAGAAGAGGATGAAGAAGAAGAAGAAGAGGATGAAGAAGAAGAAGAAGAGGATGAAGAAGAAGAAGAAGAGGATGAAGAAGAAGAAGAAGAGGATGAAGAAGAAGAAGAGGATGAAGAAGATGAGGATGAAGAAGAAGAAGGATAAGAAGAAGATGAGGATGAAGAAGAAGAAGATAAGAAGAAGATGAGGATGAAGAAGAAGAAGATGAGGATGAAGAAGATGAGGATGAAGAAGAGGATGAGATGAAGAAGAAGAAGAAGATGAGGATGATGAAGAAGAAAGAGAAGAAGAAGATGAGGATGAAGAAGAAGAAGATGATGAGGATGAAGAAGAAGAAGAAGGATAAGAAGAAGAAGAAGAGGAGGAGGATGAGGATGAAGAAGAAGGAGAAGAAGAAGCAGCAGAAGAAGAAGGATAAGAAGAAGAAGAAGATGAGGATGAAAGAAGAAGAAGATGAGGATGAAGAAGAAGATGAGGATGAAGAAGAAGAAGATGAGGATGAAGAAGAAGAAGATGAGGATGAAGAAGAAGAAGATGAGGATGAAGAAGAAGAAGATGAGGATGAAGAAGAAGAAGAAGATGAGGATGAAGAAGAAGAAGATGAGGATGAAGAAGAAGAAGATGAGGATGAAGAAGAAGAAGATGAGGATGAAGAAGAAGAAGATGAGGATGAAGAAGTAGAAGATGATGAGGATGAAGAAGAAGAAGAAGGATAAGAAGAAGAAGAAGGATAAGAAGAAGATGAAGGATAAGAAGAAGATGAAGGATAAGAAGAAGATGAAGGATAAGAAGAAGAAGGAGAAGAAGGAGAAGAAGAAGAAGAAGAAGGAGAAGAAGAAGAAGTAGGATGAAAATAAGAAGAATTCCAGTACAGCAAAAAGTGTATCTGCAGAGAGCTCCGCTATTTCTGACAGTTCTCTGACAGTTCCTTCACATTTACAGCGGTTGAAACATTGTATCTATTTGTTTCCGAATAAAAACATCTGTATCCTAAATGGAAACAAATAGATACAATGTTTCAACCGCTGTAAATGTGAAGGAACTGTCAGAGAACTGTCAGAAATAGCGGAGCTCTCTGCAGGGACACTTTTTGCCGGCTGTAGAAGGGATGAAAATCGGCTGATCGGGAAAAATTTGATTCGTGCATCCGAAGTTTGCTAATTTTCGGATTCGGTGCGAATCGAATTTTTCCTAATATTCGAAACGAATTCCACTTCGCCAAGTTCGATTCACTCATCTCTAGTTGCCAGGTCTTTCCCCAACCCCTACAATGCAGGAAATCCTGCATGGCCAGGGATGAAGCTAGGACAATTTAGACAGGAGCTAAATAACCTACCAGCATGTCTTTGGAGTGTGGGAGGAAACAGGAGTACCCAGAGGAAACCCACGCAAGCACAGGGAGAACATGCAAACTCCATGCAGGAGGCACCATGGTCGGGAATCGAACCCATGACCCATTTACTGCACGGCAGACGTGCTAACCACTAAGCCACTGTGCCGCCCTTCTGTTACTTTACAGAGTGCCAATTAGACTGCACAGTTATATTTAGACACCATAAACAACTGCTGTAACAGGAAAGCTGAGTTCAGATCAGGGGCGGCTGACAACTCATGGGGCCCCCGGGCAATAGGGGATCATGGGGCCCCTATGTCCTTGCCAAAACTCAAAAAAAAGGTACCAGGGGCATCTCATGGGGCCCCCTACTGACCCCGGGCCCTCGGGCAGTGCCCGAGTTTCCAAATGGTCAGTCCGCCCCTGGTTCAGATAATCAGAATTCAAGTTGTTAGTATGATGTCTATTTCTGTTTCAATTGAGCTTTAATGGCTTGAGTATATTTAATTTCTTACCGGAACGAATTACATCTCTGTGGATGCCAGAATTATACTTCTTCCATTGAAGATCACAGTGTGAAGACCTGGGAGAGTTACACCACTCTACTACATATCCACGCACAGAAGGGACTGGTCTCCACATTACATTGATCTCCCCATCTCTGCCATGTGTCCGCTCTGTGTTCACTTCATTGCCTACAAGAGGAGCACAAGGACACCCATTATATGGTAAAACATATAGAAAAGAACTAGCTGACTAGATGGAGGTAAAAACTGCACCCCAAACTTTTCCAATGTATGTCTCCATGCACACTGGCATAAAAAATGCTGCTTCTGGAGGAGTTTAGCATTTTGCATGTAGAAGAAGCTCAACGTTATCCTGTGTGTCCCTGCATATTAGAGACACATTTTAAACGCAGAGTTTAGAGGCAGAATAAAACCCTTCTCTTTTACGTTTTTTGAGAGGAGTTTTCTGGCTGGAAAAAAAAAGCTGAATGTTCCTAAACTCCTGTACAAAAATTTTCTATAGGGGATTTTTTTCTGCCAATGGAACTGGGGTTTTTTTTTTAAGCGCAGTGTGCATGGAGCCTACCAGTGAATCCAGAACAATAGTGTAACAATCTGAATGCATGTAAAGTTTTCATCCTTGGCTACCATCAAGAAAAATCTTGAACAGGCTCCCAGGAAATGTTTGGCTAACTCTTTATTGTCCTCCTTGGATAGAACTTAAATAAGTTGATGCTGTAGGACAAACCCTAGGATGGAGTTCATCTCATTTCTACTATCTAGTGTTTGGGCAACTTGAGTGAAAATGGATCTCTTGATGCCTTGAGGTTCCTTATAAAAGGATGAGTAGTCTTAGTTACGGTAGACAAGTTAAAAAAAAAATTGGAATGATACTTTTTTGTGTATGCCTCATAACTCAAAGATTTTACTTCTTTTTTTTCTTTCAAAGTAAGCTAGCACAATTTTCCTTCTAATACAGTACGCACCCTTTAATTTAACGCAAACCTTTCTCTTGGATAAAGTATTTAGAAAAGAGACTTTGTCAAAAAAAGGAAATGTGACTCCACGTCTTCACTCTCTTGCAGTGATTTCCAGCATTTCTAGGTGAGTCAGATAGGGTGCCCCCTTCAGGCACTGTGGTCCCACCCATTGGTCTCTATGCTACTACAGGACACAGTAATAACTAGACGTGTGTTTTCTTATCATTTATTCGTTCAGGCAAAAATATGATTTTCAGAGATTCAAATATATATGAATCTCTGAGTGGACATAATAACGAATGTCAATAAATCTGAAAAAAAGTTATAACGAAATTAACTAATGTATTTGTTTCATTCGGATGATGTCACATGATGCAATAGTAGTTCAGGCCCATGGGGAAATGAATTAAATTTTAAAATTTGTTTGATAATTGAAATTCTGATAAGGAATGGATCTAAATTTCATTCCATTTGTTAATTCGGTTACACTTGATGCCAGCTGATATTGTCCAGTCAGCTAGTGTCATTTCTCTTGGTGAGTTGGACTAGTGTGAAAATATCAAATACTATCGATTCAAATCCATCCAATTTGATAATAATATATTGAATATATAGCAGTCTTACAGAAAAACTGCAACATTTTTCGAATCCACCTGGACCAATGAATATGAAACAAATGCCAAAAATACAAAACAAATTCCCAAAAAGTAATTGGCTAAACATAACGAATTGATGAAACGACATTCTGCAAAGAGCGAATGCATCCAAAACCAAATGAAACCAAAATTTCCAGTGTGTACATGTCTAGTAGTAACATAGCAGCGGGCAGGTGAAACTACAGCCCACAGCAGGGGACAAACTATCCAACATGACCGAAAGTACTGGAAATGAGTGACCATCCCATTGATATGTACAGCTGTAAAACAGTTATTGTTGACTAAACTGATACATATTAAGACTGAAACATTTGGTCTGGTCATTTAGTGGTTAACCACTTCCTGTCCAGCCCATGTACATAAATGGCTGGACAGGAGAGCTGCCGGAGGCAGTGGATGTTTCTAAATGTCCCCCAGCATCCATTGCCTGTGCACACTCCCTGGGAGCGCGCAGCACTGCGATCGGTGTCCGCTGTTTCCGGAGGACACAGCAGACCACTGTTCGCTGTACGGGACCTCTGTGTGAGGTCCCTATTTATGTGATCACTGATTGGCCAATCAGTGATCACATGAGATATGTATGACAGCCTTTATGGGAGTAAAAGCAATCAATGTAAAAAAAAATGATTCATCACCTCCCACAAGTAGTAGTGTTATGGTGACACTGTACTGCTAGGGTGACAGTATGTTCAAAACAAAACATAAATAATAATATATAAAAAAATTAAAATGTAAAAAAAAGTTTTGAAAAATTATAAAAAATTTTTGATTATAAACTAATTTGGGTTATTTTTTACTGAAAAGATAGATGAATACATTTTGGTCAAGATTTCTGAAGAAAAATTATTTGTTTGCAAAATTTTATAAGAAAAAAACACTTTTTGTTTTTCAAAATTTTTGGACTTTTTCATTTATATAGCAAAAAAAATAAAAATCCCAGTGGTAAAAAATAACACCAAAATAAAGTTTTATCTGTCTCAAAAAAAATGCTAAGAAATTCATATGGATACAGTGTTGCATGACCGCGCAATTGTCATTCAAAGTGTGATAGCGCTGAAAAGCTGAACATTGGCCTGGACAGGAAGGGGGTAAAAGTGTCCAGACATAAAGTGGTTAAAAATGATTTCCAAGTATGGTATATTTTTACATAGTTATATTGGTTCAGCTGGGATCAATGGATGTACAATATATATATAAATACATGGACAAGGCCCCTGGAAGCTGGAAATCAGTGAAGTGGATAAACAAAACTCTGCCTCTCCACCTCATCCAATCAGAGAATGCTTTGCAATCATTGAGAAAATGCAAAGAAATCTCTGGCACCTGTTCTGATCATCCAACCTCCTGTGTTCAGAATGCAGCAGGGCGGCTGCTTGGCACAAGAATCGGAAGCTAGTGGAGATCACTGGAGTAGTGGGGAAAAAAGTTGAAGTCCAAGTATGGATGATGTATGTGATTAATCATAAATTATAATAACCTTAAGCTATGAATCAATAAACCATGTGCATGAATAAATAAAAACAAAAAAAAATGAAATGAAAAATAATAAAAAAAGTAGAAATAATGTCCCAAAAAAGTGACTTTGTGCTGAAAAATATATCATCTATAATGATTATAAATCGGTGACTGCTTGTGAATCCTCCCACATGTGAAGATGTGCGCTCACCTCATAGGAAGCCTGCAATTAGGCTATATAAGCTTGCGGTTCACCTCCTTTGGAACCTGCTTGTTTGGAACTCCTGCTTTGAAGTAATGAGTATCCGTGATATACGATATATGCTATGGGATGAATCGCTTCTCCAGAGGGTGCAACTCCTCTATATTTTTCGTCTCCATGCAGTTATGTAATGTATACGGATAGTGGTAGCACTGATACAATCGAAAACTACCGCTGACTGTCGGAGCTGTGTACCCGTGGTCCGGCAAAAAAACTGGCTCCCTCCGAGTGACGTTACAGTCCCACCCCTACGCGTTACGCCACTGGTCACGTGGCTTCATCAGGGGGATTTTGATTCAAATTGCAGGCTTCCTATGAGGTGAGCGCAATCTTCACATGTGGGAGGATTCACAAGCAGTCACCGATTTATAATCATTATAGATTGAAGATTTTTCAGCACAAAGTCACTTTTTTGGGACATTATTTCTACTTTTTTATTATTTTTCATTTCATTTTTTTTTTTTTTTTATTATATATCATTCATGCACATGGTTTATTGATTCATAGCTTAAGGTTATTATAATTTATGATTAATCTCATACATCATTCTCAATTATTGTGATTTTTAGAACAGAGATTAAGTGAATCAAATAATAAAATATAATAAATTGGAGGTTTGGAAGCGCAACACTATATGAAATTTGGCACCTGTTTTGCGTTTGTTCACAATGGTAGCATGTGCTAGAGGTTTGCGATCCAACAAGTGTATTATCGGGAAGCTTTCTGGACTCGCAAGATATTTCATATTGAAGTCCAAGTATGGATATTTTATACATAGTTACATTAGTATAGCTTGGACCAGTGTAACTATGCATATACCATGCCTGACCAATCTCCCTGGAAGCTGGAAATCAGTGAAGCAGATACCACTACTCCAGTTATTTCCACTAGCTTCCGGGTCATGTGCCGAGAAACTGCTGTGCTCCATTCTGAACACAGGAGGTAGGCCGCTCAGTAGAAGGCGCCATTCAGAGAACGCATACCATTGGATGTGGAGAATTAATTTGGTCCTATAGATAAAGCAATGCCTTCTGCTTACATCAATAGAAAGGATTCAAGCTTTCTGAAAACTTATCATTAATAATAAACTGTTAGTGCAAATAACAGTAAGCATTGTTACTGCACTTCCTCTGGAGTAATAAGGACTTACCACTCCCGCTGGTTCCTGGGACTTTTATCTCGGCAGCTGGAGACACACCAGCCCCATTCTCTGCAGTGATGCAGATGGCATGAGCTTGTCTTCCAAGGTTCATACTGTAACTGTTCTGCTGAGCTGACACTCTAGTTTTGTTGGCTAGGATATTGCCATCTATTGGCCACCATTCAATATTATAGTGAGAAATTCGTCCATTGGCACTGAAACCTGGAGGATGCTAAAAACATAAATCAAGTTACAAAATTAACCAAAGCAAACTGGATCTGAAACACATGGCCTTCATGCTACTCAAACACAGATCAGAAAGAGATCTAAGACTCAATTCACAAAGCACGTAACTAAAGATCATGCAGCCCCATAGAAAAATGTTGATTGGAATCCACTGCAGCCTCTCTCTGCGGCAACTGGCAGTGCCAAGTGTGATAATACAATTCATAGATCTTGACAAAGTGAAGTTGATTTACTAAAAGTGGAGAGTGCAAAATCTGGTGCAGCTATGCATGGTAGCCAATCAGCTTCTAACTTCAGCTTGTTCAATTAAGCTTTGACAAAAATGTGGAAGGTGATTGGTTTCTATGCAGAGATGCACCAGATTTTCCACTTTTTGAACTCTCCAGTGTTAGTAAATCATCCCCATTATGACTAGATCAAGGACAGGCAGCAGCAGAGCTCTGAGCATAGTTGGTACACAACTAGAGAACAGTGCTGAGCATTGAAGTTGTCAGGGAATTGAGGTGCAGTAATGCATGGAATTCCATACACTGTAATGCTTGTGCTGTGTGTACATGCGTGCACCGTTGGCATTCTTGGTTGCCAGGTTTCTGCTTCCTAATGTCCTTGGTTGCTAGGATGCAGGCAGCTCTTGCCGCCTAACATCCTTGGTTGCCAGGATGTGGACAGTTCTTGTTGCCAGCGTCTTTTGCAGGCAGGCAGCTCCTAGCAATTAGGGTCAAGATGTAAACATCCATATTCTGTAATCACACATTGCTGGTTTTCACATGTCATTCCTAGGCAGTGGTGGTGACCAATAGAATACAATTGCTGGATGCATGTAAACATTAGCACAGATGGTTACATGCATCCAATATAAAATACAGTCCATACACTAGATCCTTGAGTGCAGATGTTTCTATTATCGAGTTGTGCGCAGTTACGGGACTGAGACCACTGAATTTAATACAGCTATATTCAGATAATTAATATAATGTATTACAGACCTGAATGTAGTATTTTCTGAACCCTTGTACATGAGCCGTTATACTTGATTTTCCAGCTAACTACTCTTTCATTAGTAGCTCACCAGTCCTTTTCAGCATTTCAGGTCTCGGGGTCTTGGCCTAGGCATTTGCTGCAATTACTCCATAAGGCTCATTTACTAAAACTGCAGAGTGAAAAATCTGGTGCAGCTCTGCACAGAATCCAATCAGCTTCCAGGTTTTATTGTCAAAGCTTAATTGAACAAGCTGAAGTTAGAAGCTGATTGGCTGCCATGTACAGCTGCAACAGATTTTGCACTCTGCAGTTTTAGTAAATGTTATCCTGTATCTCTAATACAAACGTCTTTGGGGGTAGTGCTACATTAGACTACACTACATTAGTGCTAGATTACATTACACTACCCCCTTGGGGTTGCTGATGAATTTGGGTCCCCTATAGTCCTGCACAGCCAGTCAATTAGCATTTTCCACTCAACTTTCATACACAGACAGAAATCAGGCCTTGAGCGTTGGTTTAGTTGTTCTATTGAGGGGATTAAACTTGGATAGGGTAAGGGGTGTATAGGATGCCCAAGGGAACTGAAATCTGAGGACAACTTCCTGAACTATTCACAGTGTCTTCTCTCCAACACACACTCTCTGTTGGAGTGCTAGATAGCAGTTTCAGTTGTACTACCCCAGACTCTAGATGAACTCCTCTTCACCAAGGAATCTGAAGGTTTTCTTCCTGAGCAGGGGATCTGGCTCCTGTTCTCTTAAATAAGGTGCACAGTCACTAGCAGAGAGCTAATCTGGTTTCACACCGGAGTGCTCCTTCCCCTATCCGCCCAGGGGGTGTAGATGTACTCATTCAGATCCTCTTCTGTACAGCTTGTGGAATGACTGCTGCTACCTGGCCTATCAGCTGTGCTGCTCTTTCTCTACCATACAGGTAATCCTCTCTTAGGGGACCGGCTAGTCCTGAGGTTTTCTTATTTCCAGCTCCAGGCTTGCAAGCAGGCCCCATCCCACCTGGCAGCCTTCTTCCTCCAGCCTCACATCTTCCTGACTTTTATTCCTCTCCCACCACCACACTCCAACTCCCCCCACTGAGCAGACTCTAACACCCTTTAACCACTTCCCGACCGGCCGTTGTATATAAACTGCAGGGTCGGGTGGCAGTTTATAAACGGCCTCCCCGCACCCTGCTTGTGCGCGCTCCCCGGGAGCGCGCAGCACCGTGATCCGGCGCCCGTTGTGTCCTCCGGACACAGTGAAACACTGATCGTCGGACGGGACCTCCGTACGAGGTCTCGATCATGTGATCGCTGATTGGCCAATCAGTGATCACATGCAAAGTAGTAATCAAGATTTCACTTCTGACATTGCTTACTACGTGTGAAATCTGTGAATGATCACAGAGGTCACATGGTACAAGGCTATTCACAACAGCCTTGTACCATGTGACAAGCTGTGACCAATCACAACTCACTCAGTAGTTCTCAATGGCTGCAAGAATGCAGACAGAGAGAAAGCGAAATGATTGCTTTTACATCCTATATGGGTGTAAAGCAATCAGTGTTAAAAAAAAAAAAAAAAAATCTTCATCACCTCCCAAAAGTAGTACAGTGTCACCATGGTGACACTGTACTGCTAGGGTGACAGTATGTAAAAAAAAAAAAAATAAATAAATAATAATAAATAATGATATAAAAATGTTTAAAAATTATAATTTTTGGTTATAAACTAATTTGGCTTTTTTTTTTTTTTTTTTTAAAAAGATAACGTAATAAATTTTGGCCAAGATTTATGATGAAATATTATTTATTTGCAAAATTTTATAAGAAAAACACTTTTTTTTCAAAGCTGAAAACTGCCCTGGTCAGGAAGGGGGTAAAAGTGTCCGGACTGGAAGTGGTTAAGGAAGTCCAGCCCCTTGCCAAGCCTCCTGTTGGGGATTGGCTGAGGTCCCTCAAAGGTACAGCCTACCACTCTTCAGATCCACCCACTGCCTTGAAGGCCCTCATCCAAAAGCCTCAGAGCAGGGGGAAATTCCAGAGGGGCTGGCCTGCAGAGTCTCTCAGCCCTAACCACATTTTGACCCCTCTGGCTATCACACCAGAGCTGCTAACCAGCTCCTGACTAACCATTAGGGTCTAGCTCCCTCTAGCTGCACTAGGAGGATGCTATACCAATGATGAGGTTTTCTAGCTGGATTTCCCTGTCCTGCAGTCTCATTGCTTCTGGTGCATTCTCAATACACCGCGTTCCAAATTATTATGCAAATTCTATTTAAGTGTCATAAAGATTGTTTTTGTTTTTCAGTTTAACTCATGGATGGCATTGTGTGTCAGGGCTCTTTTGATCACTGAAAACAATCTCGGACACCTGTGATAATTAGATTGGCCGGTGAGCCCAATTTAAGGAAAAACTACTAAAGGAGGGTGTTCCACATTATTAAGCAGAGCACCATTTTCAAGCAATATGGGGAAGAAAAAGGATCTCTCTGCTGCCGAAAAGAGTGAAATAGTTCAATGCCTTGGACGAGGTATGAAAACATTAGATATTTCACGAAAACTTAAGCGTGATCATCGCACTATTAAGAGATTTGAGGCTGATTCAGAGCACAGACGGGTTCGTGCAGATAAAGGCACATTGAGGAAGATTTCTGCCAGATCCATGTATCAGATCAAGAGAGCAGCTGCTAAAATACCATTACATAGTAGCAAACAGATATTTGAAGCTGCTGGTGCCTCTGGAGTCCCACGAACATCAAGGTGTAGAGTCCTCCAGAGTCTTGCAACTGTGCATAAACCTTCTATTCGGCCACCACTAACCAATGTTCACAAGCAGAAATGGCTGCATTGGGCAGAAAAGTACATGAAGACTAATTTTCAAACAGTCCTGTTCACTGATGAGTGCAATCCTGGATGGTCCAGATGGATGGAGTAGTGGATGGTTGGTGGATGGCCACCCTGTTCCAACAAGGCTGCGACGTCAGCAAGGCAGTGGTGGAGTCATGTTTTGGGCCGGAATCATGGGAACAGAGCGGGTCGGCCCCTTTAGAGCCCCCCCGAAGGTGTAAAGATGACCTCTGAAAAGTATGTGGAGTTTGACTGACCACTTTCTTCCCTGGTACAGAAGGAAGAACTATGCTTTCCGTAATAAAATCATCTTCATGCATGACAATGCACCATCTCATGCTGCAAAGAATACCTCTGCAACAATGGCTGCTATGGGGATAAAAGGAGAGAAAGTCATGGTGTGGCCTCCATCCTCCCCTGACCTCAATCCTATTGAGAACCTTTGGAGCATCCTCAAGCAAAAGATCCATGAGGGTGGGAGGCAGTTTACATCCAAACAGCAGCTCTGGGAGGCTATTCTGACATCTTGCAAACAAATTCAAGCAGAAACTGTCCAAAAACTCACACGTTCAATGGATGCAAGACTTGTGAAGCTGCTATCAAATAAGGGGTCCTATGTTACAATGTAACGTGACCTGATAAAATGTTTAAAAAGTTAAAATGTTGTTAAAAGTTTTTGATTGAAATAGCTTTTGATTTTAGTAAATATGCTGCAAACACAACAAATTACAATTTTCAGTTCTTTACAGCCTATAAAGTGTTTTGAAACTTACTGTGCATAATAATTTGGAACAGTGCATTGTAAGTGTTTTATGTTTAACAAAAATACTGTTATCATTAGGAGGTTTGTTCAATAAAATGTGAATTGTACTCTTAATAGTTGATAACATGAGAATTATGCTGACTGTTATTTACATCAATTATTTAGGTAAATGAGAAAAATATAATTTGCATAATAATTTGGAACACGGTGTAAAGGTAAGTTGAAGTAAATAAAACCCACAGCAGGAAAAATGAGACTCCCATAGAGGCCCCTCTTCTCTCCCTAAACATGTTTTTGTCTTCCCTTTTTTACTTACTAATGTGCAATGCTGTATTATTTCCTGGTACTGTATGAATAATGGACATGAATACTAGTGCATGCAGCAGGTGGGCAGAGCTGGGAACACAGGCCCATAGAAATCAATGCTTCATCTGTTTTCTTCTACCCAAACTGAGATATATCTGAGAGGATGAAGTCCCAAAGTACTTACTTTCCAGTAAACCATCACATTTTGCCCATTTTCATTGTGATGAATTTCTCTCCAAACATTAAGTGGAGCTGACGGTGCTATACAAATAAAAAAAATGGGAGAAATCTTAAATGAGAGTGATATGTACACATTTTATCAGTACAAGTCATTATAAGGCAATGTTCCCACCGGTATTGGTAAGAGCCATGGGTATAGACTATTATGTTCATATGTCCTCTTACTGCAGAGACCAGTGATGATGCATAGAGTGAGCTCTCACTACATTTAGAATGCTGGCGCTCACCATCACCAACCAATCTCATGAGTGTGCATTTTACCAGTCCTGATTTGGAGAACTTGCAAGCAGAAACGATTTTAGAAGAAACTTACTATATTAAAGGTGTTCTGTATATCATCATTGTGTTGAGTAGGGAACCATCTATTGTGTTCTCACTGCAACTGCACCTGTTTTTTTTATTCCCATCAACAAGAACAGGAAGTGTCTCATGTTTGTTAAGAATAAAGATTTCCCATAAGCCACTGTAGCCATTTCAGCTTCAAGAAGAACACCAGTGAAGGTCTCCATTCTCCCTTTGCTACACATATGCCTGTATGTTCTTTCATTGTGTTTGTTAAAGTCACATACATAGCTAGATCACATTCCAATGTATTCAATGTGATTTGTAGGTAGCTGTTTGTAACTAATATGTTCATTGTACGCATTTGTGAGAGATATGTATACAAGCATATTGTAATTTCAGCTTATATGATTGCATTTCAATTTTAAAGAACTATTCACACAAGTACATTCATTATTGGAATGAAACACAATGCTGCTTCTGTCAGTTTTGTTAGCTTGCTGTTGGCTGGTATAAGGACAGTACAAAAGATGGCTTCCCTTCCTCCTTGCAAGATTCTTTAGAATATATACTGAGCTGAGAGTGCCTCGGTGTACATTCTCAAACTGCGACTGTGGCAGGATGAATGAACTCCTGTGGCCTGACCAATCAATATGGCCAAAGACCCCAAACTTGGAAGAAGCTAGGAAAAAGATGTTATTGGCAAGGGAGCTTGCTTACATCACATTGCTGGAGGGTGAGTTAGTATTGATGGGTTTAGTTACATTTTAAGAACAAACAATCCAATTTAATATTATTTCTGATTTGGCCTCTATGGGCTCCTACAATTTATATGTTAAATCTTGCCTTAATAAAGTAGTACAATGTGCAAAACTTTTTTTTTTATTTTGGATAAAGTAAGGAAGGGTTAAAACCCCTGTCAAATTACCCATACCAAACAAGAAGTGAGAGGAAATCCCTGCAAATTAAGGGAAACTCCTATGGTCACCAGAAATAGTGTCCCCATTGGACGTTTTCCCTTCTACTACTTTTCTGAGGACAACCGAAAAATGTAGATTTTCTTTTACTTATTTTTTTCAATAATAATGGTAAACAGGACAAATAGAGAAGGTGAATCTCCCTAATGGGGGCACAGACAGCAATAAAAATGTAATAGGTGTTCTAATCCCTCTCCACTCTATCCAAAACTAAAAAAAAAAAAAAAAAGTTTTGCCTTTAGTTATATTTTAAAGCCCAACTACAAGTATTTTTTAATTCCTTTCCCTCCCTCCAGTGTCAAAATAGATAGCAGTACTCATCCTCTCCATGCTGTAATGCTGCACTCCATTTCCTCTTACAGTCCCAGGTGCTGGACCTCTTTTGAGCCCTGGGGGCATATAACCAAGTCACCTTGGATGCCGCCCTTGTCCATACAAAGTGCTTCTCTAAGCATCATAGAGAACCTATCCACTGCCACCACAGGAAGAAGAGGAGGATGGAGGGACTTCACATGGTTGGAAGGCAGACAGTACCAAAAATATATGTATACTAAAAAAATGCAAGGCATATGCTCCTGGTCCAGGGGGGTTGGATTTTTTATTTTGGTATTGGGTTTTTAAGAGACTGGATCATTCAATAGGGCATATACCAGTATTACCAAATACCATTTTATATGTATCTAAAAAGATGCCTTTATTGGCATTAATAACAAAATGATGTTCTGAGCTCCATTATGCCACAAACAGGCTGGGCTGAAGATCACAGTATCTTTGGGTACCAGGTGTATTATGTGTTTTCCTTTCATTAGAGACTGCAAAAATCTGTCTAGGTGTTGAGGAAATATGGCTGCCTCAAATGTATTTATAAAATTCAAACAATACAAAAAATATTTTTTTGGACTGACGCAGTGATGTACACTTTGAAGAACCAAGAACAACCTGGAATCTACATTTTTGGCTTTTTTTACAGAGACTGTTTTGCATCTTTCCACCTCAACACTATTCAATGTGAATGTTAAAGATGCTCAGAAAGAATTCAAAGACATCTGAAAAGCAAACTGAATGCACCTGAAGGCAAGCAGAATTTGCCCACCTACACAAACCTTTAAACTTTTTTTTCCTGTTTGTTTAACTATATAGGTGGATGTTACTATCTTAAGGCTCATTCTCTATATAAGTCAAAGAGAACTCAGAAGCAGCTTGAAGCAACTCAAAGTCAAAGCAATTTAGACATCAGGCAGTCGCCTGCATTTGACTTGCTTGATGATCAAGCCCATCCTTTTATAATGTGTAATTATATACATTGTCTTCAAATTCCCATAGCTTGTTGGCATACCGGCTTCCTGTGTCTGGATTACAAGAGCGTCACTCCAGTTGCTCCACCCGGCCAATGATGACTCCGACATGCAGCGCACTCTCAGCTCATACCGAGTAAATGGCTGCAATCGGGTGAGACTGACACTGTACATCTCCAGTGAAGTTTTCCCTTTCATCATCACATTTACCTGCAAGGGGAAAAAAAAACTGACAATCATGTTTAAAGAAACAATAAACATTAGTACATCCAAAACTGGCATTCCTATTTTGTGTAGCTGAATCGCCCACTTGGTGGTACTTGTGTCTGCCAGGGGACTGAACATGACTTCCTATCTCCACACAAATGCCTTGGCCTAATTTTGAGATAATCCACAAAGAACCTGACAATTCTTCTGCAGTCAGACTCCATTCCAAGGTTTCTCAACCAGGGTACCATGGAAGCCTAAGGTTCCTCCAGAGATTGATGGGCATTCCTTGATCAATGAGCAATTGCTGCCACTCAGATAAGTTCCCACTGACACCATTGATCTTTTTAGCTGTCTGTAAGGAGGGAATTCTTCCCAATGACCAATGTAAGGAGAATTCTTCCCAATGACCATCATGCTAACGCAACCTTTCTCAACCTTTTTACCCCTGAGGAAACCTTGAAATCATCTTTAGGTAACTTGAGGAACCCCTGATAAAACCAATTCAGGATCAGTGAGAAAATGCACCTACATTGGTGGCCAAAAAGATGAAAGCCCCACTTTACTGCGGTGGTCTGAATTCCTCCCTTACAGACAGCTAAATCATTATCATTGATTGGTATCATTACATTGACTCATTGTCATGTCACATTGGCTCTGGAACTATGCAGGCACCATCAAATGGGAGGTAAAATAGCCATAGCGTAGCAACCACTGGAGAATACCTGGCTGAGAATAGCTGCACTAATGTATCATCAGTTGTCAATGTAGTAATTTTTACCGGGGGTACCCTGAGATGAGAAAGTTATTTCAACAGTTGCTCTGTATTGAAAATGCTGCTCTGTGCTGGAATTCTCAAACACTAAAATCCCAAGCAAATGTAAAGGATAAGTTCAACTTAAAAAAAAAAAAATGCACATCTTTTACAGGTAAGAAATGTGCAGATCGCAGGTGCAATGGAGGGCTCTTGCAGACTGTCAGTGTAGCTGACTGCTCATACTTTGTACAGGCAGGCAGTTACTGCTGTCAAGAAGACTCAATGAACTACCTAGTGAGCTCAATAACGACCTGGTAGTTCATTGAGAATTACATGCCGACAGCCGCAAAGCCTGTCGGTTCATGTAGTTCACCCATTTGCAGAGCTCTATATGTGTCTTTTTTAAATTGTGACAGCAGGCTCAGGGTGAAGATCCCCGGCCTGTTGTCAAAGTGTGGGGGAAAAGGGGAGCCGGGGCAGCTGCAGCAGTATTACATGTCACACCCTGAATACGGGTGTAACGTAATAAAATGTGAACTTATCCTTTAAGTAAAGCTGGTACCTGAAGGGATTATAAACCTTTAGGCTACATTGACTTCTTCAGTGCTGTCTGTTTAATTTGTCTATTAAATGTGTCTATTAAAAATAATCAGAAATTAATTTAAATGTGAAAAGAATTGCCATCCTATAAAATATATATTATATTGCCAAAAGTATTGGGACACCTGCCTTTACATGCACATGAACTTTAATGGCATCCCAGTCTAAGTCCGTAGGGTTCAATATTGGGTTGGCCCACACCTTTGCAGATATAACAGCTTTAACTCTTCTGGGAAGACTGTCCACAAGGTTTAGGAGGGTGTCTATGGGAATGTTTGACCATTCTTCCAGAAGAGCATTTGTGAGGTCAGGCACTGATGTCGGATGAGAAGGCCTGGCTCACAGTCTCTGCTTTTAATATATACAGTTGCAAGAAAAAGTATGTGAACCCCTTGGGATTACGTGGAGTTTTGCATGAATTGGGCATAAAATGTGCTCTGAACGTCATCTAAGTCACAACAATAGAAGAACACAGTCTGCTGAACACAATACTACACAAACATTAGATGTTGCCATGGTTTAATTGCACATAACATGTAAACATTCACAGTGCAGGGAGGAAAAAGTATGTGAACCTTTGGACTTAATAACTGGTTGACCCTCCTTTGGCAGCAATAACCTCCACCAAACGTTTCCTGTAGTTGCAGATCAGACCTGCACAACGATCTGGAGTCATTTTGGACCACTCCTCTTCACAAAACTGTTTCAGTGTAGCAATATTCTTGGGATGTCTGGTGTGAATCGCTCTCTTAAGGTCATGCCACAGCATTTCAATCGGGTTGAGGTCAGGACTCTGACTGGGCCACTCCAGAAGGCTTATTCTGTGCTGTTGCAGCCATTGTTTTGTTGAATTACTTGTATGCTTTGGGTCATTGTCCTGTTGTATCACCCATCCTCTGCGGAGCTTCAGTTGGCGGACAGATGGTCGTACGTTTTCCTGCAAAATGTCTTGATAAACTCTGGAATTCATTTTCCCATCAATGACAACAATCCGTCCAGGCCTGAGGCAGCAAATCAGCCCCAAACCATGATGCTCCCTCTGCCATGTTTTACAGTGGGGATGAGGGTTTTGATGTTGGTGTGCTGTGCCTTTTTTTCTCCACACATAGTGTTGTGTGTTCTTCCCAAACAACTCAATCTTGGTTTCAACTGTCCACAGTATATTTTGCCAGTAGTGCTGTGGAACATCCAGGTGCTCTTTTGCAAACTTCAAACGTGCTGCAATATTCTTTTTGGACAGCAATGGCTTCCTCCGTGGTGTCCTCCCATGTACTCCATTCTTGTTTAATGCTTTCCTTATTGTAGATGTATCAACAAAAATGTTAGCATGTGCCAGAGATTTCTGTAGGTCTTTAGCTGACACTCTGGGATTCTTTTTTACCTCATGCAGCATTCTGCGCTGTGATCTTGCAGTCATTTTTACAGGACGACCGCGCGCCTAGAGAGAGTGGACACATGAACATCAAGGCTTTTGGAGATACTTTGGTAACCCTTTCCAGCTTCATGCAAGTCAACAATTCTCGATCGTAGGTCTTCTGAGAGCTCTTTTCTGCGAGGCATGGTTCACATCAGACAGTGCTTCTTGAAACCAGTAAACCCAAAACAGGTGTGTGTTTTTTAAGGGCAGGACAGCTGTCAGCAACACATCCAATATCATCACACTGATTGGAGTCAAGGTTGGCTCACTCCTGGCTCCAATTAGCTCTGGGAGAAGTCATTAAGCTAGGGCCTCACATACTTTTTCCTCCCTGCACTGTGAATGTTTACATGTTATGTGCAATTAAACCATGGCAACATCTAATGTTTGTGTAGTATTATGTTCAGCAGACTGTGTTCTTCTATTGTTGTTACTTAGATGACGTTCAGAGCACATTTTATGCCCAATTCATGCAAAACTCCACGTAATCCCAAGGGGTTCACATACTTTTTCTTGCAACTGTATATATCCAATCACATGGCAGCAACTCAATGCATTGAGGAATCTAGACATGGTGAAGACGATTCAAACCGAGCATCAGAATGGGGAAGAATTTAAGTGAATTTGAACGTGGCATGGTTGTTGATGCTAGACGGGCTGGTCTGAGTATTTAAAAAAAACTGCTGATATACTGGGATTTTGAAACACAATCATCTCTAGGGTTTACAGGGAATAGTCCGCAAAGGAGAAAATATCCAGTGAGCTGCAGTTGTGTGGGAGAAAAATGATTTGTTGATGTCAGAGGAGAATGGGCAGACTGGTTTGAGATGATAGAAAGACAACAGCACTCAGATAATCACTCTTTTCAACCAAAGTATGCAGAATACCATCTCTGAAAGCACAACATATTGAACCTTGAAGCAGATGGGCTACAGCAACAGAAGACCACACCAGGTGCCACTCTTGTCAGCTAAGAACAGCAAACGGAGGCTACAGTTCGCACAGGATAACCAAATTGGCCAATAGAAGATTGGAAAATGTTGCCTGGTCTGATGAGTCTTAATTTCAACTGCGACATTCAGATGGTAGGGTCATGATTTGGCGTAAACATAAAAGCATGGATCCATCCTGCCTTGTATCAATGGTTCAGGCTGGTGGTGTGATGCTGTGGGAGATATTTTCTTGGCACACTGTGGGCCCCTTAGTACCAATTGAGCATCGTTTAAACGCCATGGCCTACCTGAGTATTGTTGCTGACCATGTCCATCCCTTCTTGGCAGGTCCACCACTGGTGCCCTGTGCGTTTCACAGATGAGAGCAGGTTATGCTGCCTGTAACAACATGACTGTTTTGGTGGTGGGTAAGTGATGGTCTGGGGAGTCATATCCATGGAGGGACGCACAGACTTCTACAGGCTAGACAATGGCACCCTGACTGCCATTAGGTATCGGGATGAAATCCTTGGACCCATTGTCAGACCCTACGCTGGAGCAGTGGGCCTGGGTTCCTCCTGGTGCATGACAATGCCTGGCCTCATGTGGCGAGAGTATGCAGGCAGTTCCTGGAGGATGAAGGAATTGATACTATTGAATGGTCCCCACGCTCACCTGACCTAAATCCAATAGAACACCTCTGGGATATCATGTTTTGGTCCATCTGACATCGCCAGGTTGCACCTCAGGCTGTCCAGGAGCTCAGTGATGCCCTGGTCCAGATCTGGGAGGAAATACCCCAGGACTCCATCCGTCGTCTCATTAGGAGCATGCCCCAACGGTTGTCAGGCATGCATACAAGCACATGGGGGCCATACAAACTACTGAGGACCATTTTGAGTTGCTGCAATGAAATTTCAGCAAAATGGACTAGCCTGCTACATCATTTTTTTCACTATGATTTTCGGGGTGTCTTTGAATTCAGTCCTCTGTATGTTGATAATTTTCATTTCCATCAAACGATGGGGCATCCTTATCTTCCGAACACATTACCCAGTCCATATCAGTATAGATATCCAGCATGAGATTTTTCCCCATTGAGATCTGATGTGTTTTCAAAGTGTTCCTTTCATTTTTTTGAGCAGTGTATATATACTGTATACATACACTGGCCTGTTTCCATCGTATTTGTAAATCT